GCTTATGGCGTAGGTATAAGGTATATCGGTATCTTCGTATAGTAATTAAGGGCATCGTGGTACCTATCGGTTAGGGAGGAGAAACCTCCCCAGGTACCGTAACTAGCTGGAAGGGATAAAACAAAGGCAATCGGAGCTATCGGTAAGCCTCTTGTAATTGAAATAAATCGATCGGTAAAGAACGGATGCCTTTAAGCGCGTGCGAGGTTGTAAAAAGGGGGTGGTAGCGGTGACGGAGTTAGGTCAACTAAGAAAAACGGCTATCTAGGTACCGGTAAAAAACGACGGAGGTAAAACTAGACGAAAACGGGCATAGCTCCTTTAAAAGAGATAACTAAGAAACGAGAATAGGGATTCCTGCCGATCGGCGAACGAGCTTTTAGGTAAGCTAATTAAAAGCTGATGGGAGGGCGTAGGTTATTGATGGTCGCTATGGTTATCTACCCTTCCTATTAATCCAGCTACCTAAAAAGGCTCCGAAGCTAAAAGCTATAAAAAACGGCTCTAGAGCTACGAAAATAACTCCTAATTAATTAAAAAACAGGGAATCTCTTAATCGTCGTATCCTAAACCTAATGACTATAAAAACGGTCGTAAAAGGCTACTCCTAAGATGAGGTAAGGACGAGCTACTAGGTAGTCGCTATTAAACAAGAGCAGCGTAAGCACGCTAACGGAGGCACGAAAAGGGCTACCTAACTGCCAATAACTGGCCTAGTGCCGATTAAACCTAGATTATAGCTGTAAATAGCTATAATCGGTTAATCGGCTAATTAAAAACGGTAGCTAAGAAAGGAGGACTAGAAAAGGGTAAGGGAGGAAGGCTAGAAAGGCATGGCAAAAGGAGTGAATAGCTATAGGTCCTAATGTCTATAGGTCTAAGTCTGGCTAATGAAAATATGAGTACGCGACCTATATAAATATATATCGAAAAGGCTACGTGGCCTAGATCCACCGCACTACTATAGTAGCTACGAATATATTTACCGTATCGCTTAGGAAGTTAGTAAATTAAATAAAAAGGTCGATGCTATTTTACCGTAATAATAAATAAAGGAATACCCTTCCTAAGGGTTATTTACGAAAGGGCGGTTATACTTTAATTCGCTTTAGTACCAGAACTATCGCCTACGATTAACTCGCGTAAGAACCGCACGGGAAAAAGAGGCTTTAATATAAATGCCCGAATAATTTCGCGACTTCGTTCCTATTATAACTAAGGAAGCCGGATAACGGTTTCTAAACCGATAACCTTAGGACCATATCATCGAACTCCGTCCGGGAACTACTCCTTTATAGGAACCCTTATATGTTATAAGTAAGCGATAGCTAAAAGCTTTAAAGCCTTAGCTAAACGAAATAATAACCATAAGAAGAATCCGGAAATCTAAAGCGCTATACGAAGTATCCATAATATTCGTAAATAAAAAGGACCTTAATACGCTAAAACCGGTAGCGGATTATCAGGGGTTAAATAAAATTATAATACCCGTTTAATACCTTATCCTATTAATTAACGAACTATAAAATTTATTTTAAATAACGCGATAGTTTATTAAAATTAATTTAAAGTCTAGCTTTTATATAGTACGGATTAAGGAAGGCGATAAATGGAAAACCGCCTTTAAAACGCGCTATAGGTTATACGAATATATTATTATACCTATGAGATTAATTAACGCTCCCGCTACCTTCTAAGCCATAATAAATTATATCTTCCGCGACCTTTTAAACGTAGGAATTATCGCTTATTTAAATAACGTCCTAATTTATATCGATACGTTAAAAAAAATATAATAAATTAATTAAAGAAGTCCTAAAACGGCTTATAGAAAACTACTTAGTAATAACCCTAAAGAAATATACCTAGCGAACGTAGGAAGTTAAGTTCTTAAGGTATAACATAAGCCTTAAGGATATTACTATATCTAAGGATAAAATAAAAGCTATCCTTAATTAGCGTATCCTAACTACGCTTAAAGACTTATAAAGTTTTATTAGGTTTTTTAACTTCTATCGTAAATTTATACGTAACTTTTCCGGTATAGCTAGGCCGATTATTAGCGCTAATAAAAAGGACCGTAAACTATAGAAATAGGAAATCGAAATGGAAAAGGCTTTCTAAGAATTAAAAGAAACCTTTACGAAAGCTCCGGTACTTATATACTTCGATCCTAACCGAGTTTTAGTAGTTAAAGCCGACGCCTCGGACTTTATTATCTCGGTTATCCTCTCGTAGAAAAACGATAAAGGAAAATTAAAATAAATAGCCTTTTTCTTAAAGCGACTAACCCTAGCGGAAATAAATTACGAAATATATAATAAGGAGCTATTAATAATCGTCGACGTATTCGAGAAGTAGCGATATTACTTCGAAGGCGCTTAATATTAAATAAAAATATACTTAAACCACTAGAATCTAACGTACTTTATTATAGTAAAGGTATTAAACCGACAATAAGCCCGCTAGGCTTAATAACTTTCCTCGTATTATTTTATAATATATTACCGCTTAAGAAGGTAAAATAAAAAGGCCGATATTTTATTTAGATTATTATAATACCGCCTTAAAAAAGGGGGAGCTAAGGACTAGTTAATAGCGACGGTCTTATAAGAAAAGCATTTTTTTAAAAATTCAGGCTTATTAACGGTAATCCTTTCTAACGTACGATTAAGTAATATCCCGATATCCGCCTAGACCCTAGAATTCGTTAAACGAATTAAAAATGCGGCTAGATAGGACTCGGAATACTAAGCTTAATTAATAAAATAACCCGGTAAAGAAATAAAGCTCCGAGAAGGCCTTTTTTACCGACGAAATCGCCTATAGGTACTTAAGGACTTATAATAAGAGGTAGTTAAATCCGAATACGATATTAAAGTAACGGGATATATAGGTATAAATAAAACTATAGAGCTTATTATACGTAACTTTTAATAGCCTAACCTAGAAGTAATAATTAAGGAATTCGTACGAGAATATCGTAATTATTAATAGAATAAGGTATCCCGGTATACCTTATTCGGATTACTATAGCTTATAAAACTATATTACCGCTTATAATAGATAATCGCGATAGACTTTATTATAAACTTACCGATATTTAATAGCTACGACTCTATATAGGTTATTATAAATCCTTTTATAAAAATAACGCACTTTATCCCGCTAAAAAAGGATAGTAAAAAAGCCGAAGACTTAATACCTATCTTTATCCGTAATTATTAGCGGTTATATAAGATCCCCTTAGATATTATTTCCGACCGAGACTTACGATTTACCTCCTATATCTAAAAGGATATTTTAAAGCTCCTCGGAATTAAGCTTAGAATAAGTACTACCTTCTACCTTTAGACGGATAAATAGACGGAAAGACTTAACTAAATCTTAAAAGCATACTTACGCGTCTTCGTAAATTACGAGATAAGCGACTAGGAAAGCTTACTTCCTATCGTTAAATTTACTTATAATAATACTACTTTAATAACTACCGGTATATTATCCTTTTACGTTAATTACGGGTAGTACCTAGTAATATATAACCTACCTTTAAATACCCCTAAGAATCTAGGGAGTAACCTTTATATTTATTAAATAACTAGGGTATATAACGAAGCTAAGTAACATTTAGAAAAGGCGCGGTAGCGGATAAAAGGATAAGTAAATAAGTATAGAAAAAAGGAACCTCCCTTAGAAATAAGGTAACTCGTTATATTAAATACCCGTAATATTAAGACCAAACGCCTTACTAAGAAGATAGATAAGAAGATATTCGGTTTCTTTAAGATCTAAAAGGTCGTTTCGCTTACTACCGTAACCTTAACGCTCCCGAAAGGCTAGCGTATTTATAGTACCTTCTACGTATCCCTTATCGAACCTTACCGCGTTAATAACTAGGAATTACCTAACCTTAATTAAGTCTTACGGAAGGTAGCCCCGATCGAAGTAGAAGATTACGAGGTAAATAAGGTACTAGATTCCGTTAGAACCGGAGAAATCGTTAGGTACTTAATAAAATAAAAAGGCTAGCCGGTTAAGCGCTATTAAACTTAGGAACCATAGGAATACTTTACTACCGAAGGAACGAAGGAAGCCGTTAAGTTATTCCATTAATAAAACCTTAATAAACCTATTAACTATCGAGCCTAAGTACTTAACCTACGCTTAGAAACGAGCTCCTTCGAAGAGGGGAGATAGTATTATACGGAGAAGGAATCCCGTATTAATAATTAGGTTATACGGGTTAGGAGGATAATATCGGGTAATAAGGCCGTTACCTCGGCGACTTATTAAGGAAAGTCTTAAATAAACTACGGATAGCTTCGGTATTAGGGTACCTAAGTACTAAGGTACGAAGGTACCTCTAAAGTATATTAAGACGAGATAGGGACCGGGAAGCCTAAGAAAGGAATAAGGACTTAAGAGACCCCCTATAGAATTATTAGTTAAATTGAACCTATTCCAAGCACATCCCCTTGTCATACTCTATAGCAAGCGGGTCCCTAAATGGAATAGCTTACAAAGTCCTCGCGAAACGCCCACGATGCTATGAATACCAAGGCGACTTACGCCGAAGCACCAGAGCGATGCAAATCATATCCTAATAGCGATACATCCAAAACCGCGCATCGCGATGCCTTTCTCTGCGACTTACCCGTACCTCCCATCGATGTCCCGAGCAGTCATTCCATCCCGCCCCACCGCGCCCGTCATCATGTCGATGGATGCGGTATGGTGGACCGTTAAAACATAAAACACCAGCATACCCCTCCGGACGCCTGGGTCTAGTATTCCGTTTCCCACCAAGTGACGCAGCTTGACCGAGCGCCTTGTATGTGCCGGAAACCGCTCGTCGCGGTATGATACACCCTGTTTCTGCATTCCGGGGCCGACGGGGCCGGGTTATCATGCCGAGCTGTCTTGGCGCCGCGAAATCAGTTATCAGGCTGGAACGCCGTCACCGACACGAGCTAGCAGCAGTTGCAGCAACGCGCGTCCCTCGCGCATAAAAGATAATGCTATAAATAAACAAAAACTCCCCGGGGAAGAAAAAGACAATGCACACGTCTATGCATGTCAGCGTCGGACGATTTAAATCGTCTTGCCTCCGCAGTCGGGGATCTTGACGCCCTCCTTCAGGTTCCTATTGACATCCATGAGGCCCCACTGGTCTTCCCACTCCTTGCCGGGAGTGTTGAAGCTGATCTTCCAGGGCTCGTCGAACATCTCGAACCAGAAGTAGTTGGTCCCGTTCTCGAGGGCCTGGCAGACCCAGTCCTCCATCAACGTGTTGAGCTCGTCGATGCCGGCCACCGACGCCTCCGGGCAGTCCGTCACCCCGGCATTGTCGCTACCGCAGTTGGTGCCGCCCTTGGTCGGCCAGCCGATCTCCGCGACCACGTTCCGCTCCTGGTCCGTCTTGAAGAAGCCCGACGCCTTGTTCTGCCAGAACGTCCACGTCCACGACGCCGCCTCCTTGGCGTTAACACCGGCGAAGAACGGGTGGATATTCCCCATGATATAATCGCTGATCGACGCCAGCTCCGAGTTCCAGTTGTCGCCCAGGTCGCTCGTCGCCACGGGGAGGTCCCACTTGTGCTCCGTCAGGTTCCTCCTCACGGTGCTCAGGAGGTCACTAAGCTCCGCCGCGGTCATCTGCTTCCGAAACAGTAGCTCGTTGCCGATGATAACGCCCTTGAACGGGTCCGAGCCGTACTGGTCCAAGATGGTCCACATCTTGCTGAGCTGGCGCTTATTCGTCGTGTCGTTGCCGTCCAGCCACACGCCGAGCCAGATCTTGACTTCGTCCTGGAGCTTCAGCTGCCTCACCGCGTGGATCGTCATCTCTGTCTGGTTGCAATCGGTGCCATAGAGCCGAATTGTGTCAGTCAGTTGCGATAGGACGGCTACGTCGCGCGTGATGTTATTCTGCGAAGCGGGGTGGTCGAGGCAGTCGGGGAACTGGACGTGGATGGGGGTGTAGTCGACGCCGGGGAAGACTTTATGCAACCGGTCATTGTTCATCAATGCCTGGATCTCGGCCGAGTTAATGTTGAGGTCTCCGTTCTGGGCTGTGTCCGAATCGGCCGACTGAACAACGTTAGAACTTGCGCTGTCCGACCTGTTGTTGGACATGAGGCCGCCGACGACGCCCCCGGCTATACCGCCAGCGATGAGAAGACCGACGACGATCAAGATGAACCATTTCCACTTCTTCTTGCTGCTTTTCTGGCTCGTCAGCCACTCGGACGGTTGCTCAGCCTTAGCGGCCAACTCGTAATCGCCACCCGCGCCGCCAACTTGGAGTGCCGAGCTCGTATTATGGATCGGGTCGTAATTAATAGCAGTATTTCTACTCTTTCCTATCAGTCCGCCTAGAACGCCACCACCCGCGGCCGCACCCGCAACGGTACCGGCAGCGCCCACGGCGCCGACCGCAGCGTTAGGGCCACCTCGACCACTTGACCCCCCTAAACTCAGAATACTAGTCCGAGCGGATCGTCGGTATTCGAGGCCGTCGTCACCATCGTCGTCGATGTCGTTGGGGTTGAATTGACCGAGGCCGAGGCCCATGCGCTGACCATAGGCCAATTGGGGGTCGCCAAAGGGGTCGCTAATGTGACTGTGCATACTCCGCGTGGGCGTGCCATGATCCGAATACGACAAGGCCGAGGTGTCCGGGGGGGCTAAGCTATGTAACGAACCGTGGGCCCGAGGGTCGTCGTGAGGGTGATTCAGAGGCGGCGGGGCGTCCCCTGGCCCGTCCGCGTAGAGATGCTGGGGAAATTGTTGCTGGTACTCCTCGGCTTCCCTCATGGCTTGTAGTCCACTTTCCCGCGCGTTTCTTTCGGCGACACTCATAGCGAGCCCGGACATGCCACCGGAGGCAATCTCGCCGAAGTTGTCGGCGCCGGGGGTGACGTTGGCCTGGGGTGCTCCCCAGGCGGATGCGGCGGTACTGTCGCGATGAATGGGCGGAATTGGCGCCGAGGACGAGGCCACGTCGTTGGCGGCGTACACTGCTGCTCCAACTCCAGCTCCTGCTCCAGCTCGGGCTCCGACAGGTGCTTGGCTAACCCCACTAAGTCTATTCTGGCGTAATCTGTTATATGCCGAGTCGGGATGGGCGCCGGGATGGTTTCGAGGTACTCTCGACGGCGAGGAGTCGGTGTGGTCGCGATAGGATCCGGTTGAGGGAGCAGACGGATGGTCTTGGTAGAAGGGGTTGTGAGAAGTTGGGGAGGGGGGATGTGAAGGAGATAGTTGACGGCCGCTACTGCTGGAATGCGCGTGGTTCGGGTAGGGGCCGTATGGGTTATCAAGGGGAGCGTCCTCGCCTGGGTCGTAGCCAGAGGAGTAGCGGCCAGCCATGGTTCCAAAAGACCAGGTTGAAAACAAGGACTGGGTAGGACCGAGAGATGGGTCGATCTTTGGAGAGTGGTGGGTCAGCAGGGCGCGGGAACAAAAAGGAAAGGGCACAATGAGAGAGAGAGAGAGAGAGAAGGGAGGGGGGTTACGAGGAGTACTAAGGTAAACGAGAACTCTCAACAACATAGCACAAGCACAAGACAGGAACTGGGGATGGACAGGACACGAGGTGGCTGAGGAAAACGTACTATGTATGCGGATGGCGTGTGGAGTGGAACCGGCCGGCCTCAAACTCGAGCTCTCGTCGCGTTCCTGGATCCTGGTGCTGAATTCTTTGCCACGCTAAACCTGGAGTCGACTGGGCTTATCGTTTCTTATTCTCTCCCTTTTTCTGTCTTTTTTCTTCTTCCCAAGGCGGTGGGTGCCAATTTGTTGCCGTAGCCTAGGGCTATTTAAGCCAGCAGACGGACAAGCGACGGCGCGGAGGCCGGACAGCGAAGGAGGCCGAGACGAGCCTGGATGGCGCGGATACGATAGTTAGTTGATAGTTAATATGGATACGACGTTGGGGGTAACAAGAAAGGCTTGTGCGAATATGTGGGCTACATAGGTCGTCTGTGTGTCTGTCTATGGTATGTATGTATGCCCCGGGGGAGGGGCGATTACAAGGGCAGCTCGAGACGTCGGCACCGAATCCGAGAGGAAAACGGGTTGAAAAAACATGAAGTTGGTAGCCGGGGCAGCCAGAGTGGAGGGTAACATTACCTGCAGATATGCCAGGTGTGAGGTCGAGGTATCTTGGGTATGTGTACCCGATCTGATCTATGTGGGTGGGTGTGTGTATCGTGTCGCCTCCTCAAGGTAAGGTTGGGTTAGGGATGATGTTAGAGAGGAGGTATGTGTGGGTATGGTGTGCAGTGTGTGTTGGAGTGCGCAGCAGTGGGCGGCACGTTGTAGGGTGGTGAGAGGAAATCGAGATGCCAGATCAAAAGACACCTCACTTTTAGATTTCGGTACATACCTACATACATGGCACACAAAAGTACTGAAGATCAGGTACCTCCTGGTGCCAGACCGGCCTTGTCGATCTCAATAGCCTATTTGCGCCGGGGGATCAATCGCATAATAATAACAAAACCCAAACTGGTGGGAGTGGCGTGGGCTGGCCGTCTGTATCTATCCTGTTTTCAAGCGCATACCCAGAATGGGGGCGGCAGGTCGGGAGCGGTTAGTGGTGGGCTGTGTGCTAAGCGTTTTCTGCATCACCGATCGACAATACGATTCCATCTGATGGATCCCAGCGATTTGGCATTAATGGGTTCTCCGAAGAGCCACATTCTCAGCATGAGGTTGTGTACTATCCGTCGCCCTGGGAAAATACCAAGTGGGCATATACATGCGCCCCACCCCGAACGCACATGGTTTACTCCGACGCCTACAGATCTACCGGAATATGTTGCATACCTAGAGGGAGATTGTGCGCACATGTCGGCTCTCGCTGCGACACCTGGCCGTTGGGCAATTGACGAGTCGAAGACAGGATGCCTAATACAGGTACCTAGAGGTAGGTAGGTAGGTAGGAGGTACCTAGGTACTCATATATGAATACTCATAGGAAGGATGACTGCAACGTCTTCCACCCCCAGGAGTCTCGTATTGTTGTGGCCAGGCAAGTTGGCTAAGCTGCTTAGGGCAGGCCGGTTGCACATCTGAAATGGGACGATGGCCCGGAGCCCAAGGTACATCACGCCTGGCCTTGTTCTCTACGACGACTGATGTACCTCGCTCGGCAAATTGCTGAATGTGCGCAGGTCGAGCATTTCCTGGAACGCACGGAGTTCGCCTACTAAAGCTATGGGAATACGAAAATTAACACCTGCCTTCTACCTGTAGGTGCCTGTATTTCGATGTACGCCATGCGCCAGTACCTACGTCCTCCTCCTACCTTAGGTACCTAAGGTAGGTACCTACCTGCCTCCTAATCGTCAATACCCGTCTCTGCTAGCCGTCTTGCTCTTTTTAATAGGTGCCTACCTACCTATTCGTTTTCTCGTTTCCTCCTCCTCCCGTTCCCGGATCCGTCGTGGCGGCAACACCCGTTGCCGCTGGTTCCTCTGCGGCTACCGCCAGTGCTGCCGCTTGCATATGAGGTACCTACCTAGGTAGGTACCTACCCCCTCTATGTCTACCTACCTAGGTGGGTACCTATATATGCTGATGCTATCTTGATTAAGGGCACAGTTTCTTTTTTGGCAACTCGGCTCTCTCTACCTCACAGGTCCATGTTACGTTAGGTACTTACATGCTATGGAGGTGCGTCCTAAGGTTCCTAGACCCTTTCTCGTCCACCTTCTCTTCTCTCTTGCTACGTGCGTGCCGGAGCGGAAGGGGTTGGAGGGGTTGAGCGGGTACCGGCGGAACGATTTCCTACCTCCCTATCTCTCTCATCTCACCAGGCGCATGATATCCCTAACGGACTCGACGTGGTCGTGAAGACCCTTCTCCCCTCCGCCCTCCCCCGGCAGCGCAACTTTGAACTCCACTCAGGCTTGTGGCAGATCAGAACCTCAACCGCCGGTCATTCCAAACAACATATCGCACGTAACCCCATAGCGTCGGCATGCAATGTACGTAGGTGTAGATCCGCGGTCGGCCAAACAACCATCTGCCGCCTACTGGGGTCTATTCGGTCGTCCGTGCACCTGGAGGATATCTTGGCATGACGAAGACGAACGAACACAACGCTGGCCTAGGCGTCTTCTCTCTTGCCCCACCTCCAAGCCTTACAATTGCGAGAATCGGGCCTGCGATTCCTCTGCGTGCCCTTCCCACCTACAGCTCGATTTGCTGCCGTGGCTGGGTCGGTAGAGGGACACCGGAGCACGGAGAAAGTTGGCCCCCCTAACCCCCTTGCTAGGAGGTAGGCATAGGTATCGGTGTATAGTAAGTAGCATGATCGGAACCAAACATTGAATCGAAACGGTGGATGAACGAAAGGCTTCCAACTACATCATACCTTAGGTACCTCGATAGGTACCTACCTGTGTAAGTACCTACCTAGGGTAATGCTTTCGACATGGAAACGTCAATGGCAACGGCAAATGCATATCGCAGCAGACGCTCCGACTCAGCATCGATACGGTACCTCTTTGCCCGGCGTCTTTCTCTGCGACTGTGCAAGTTGCTCCTTGACGTCATCTCCAGTCTGCTCACACTCCTAGACTAGCTCTGACATCATAGAGAGCGAGAAAGCAAGCCGTCCATAGCAGCGTCTCCGTCCGCCACCTCGAAATACCTATATCAATATATATCCTCCTCTTAGATAGCTGTAGTATTGAAAAGTTCGTCCGTATCCCTCCCACGTATTTCCTAGACATCGTGCTCGACGGTGTCTCTGTAGCTATCTGACGGACCTCACTAAAGCAAGTCTTGCTTTCTCGAGATATTTACGTATCCCTTTGATCAACATCCCCGACGAGCGACCGTTATGTCTGCATCCTGCGATATCGAGTCGCTGGTTAACCAGGGCGAATTCCACAGCCGTGTCCCGCCTGCAGAACCCCTCACCACCTCCGGTCACAAGCCTGGCGTCCAGGTCGGCAACGACAGGGTACCCGAGTTCCACGCGCAGACGTATCCGCCGGGCACCGCCCCTCCCAAGGACACATATCAACCCCGACCAGACGGCGTGACCTCTGCCGTGGGAGGCCAGAATGCAACCGACCCAACCGACTCCCTAGGCGGCACCACGTCACAGGCAGTCTACGCCGGCTTGGGAAAGCCCGTTCAAGGCCAGACGGGACGTGAACTGCACGGGGATCTGCACGGCGACACCACCGGCAAGCGAAAGAAGGAGCGCTCCGGCCTCGAGGGCGTCGGGGCCAGCCTCGGCGATACCGTGCGTCAGAAGGGAGCCGACTTGCCGGACGGCGTGGAGAAGGGGACCAGGGGAAAGGCGAGCGCCAGCTATCCTTCCGCTACCGAACGCGTCCCCGCCAGTGCGGAGGAGGTGGCTGCCGAGCGCTAGGTCCCGGGGCGCGCCTATGACTACGCACAGTCCGGGAAGCCTAAACAGGGAATGAGGGCGATGTATGGATGGGAATTCGAGCTATAGCTACGACTCAACCAAAATTGACACGGGATTGTAATCAGACTACGTCGCGGATACTCCTTTGCATGTGTAACGCCGTAAGGTCAGGCTCCTACCCGATCCCAGTCCTGTCGTTGCCCGGGTACTTCTAGTATGAGGTCGTGAGAAGTACTTCCTGTGACCGTCAATCGGCAATTTGTGTGTTGTGCTGTAGGTAGGTATGTCAGGTTAGGTAGGTAATCACACTCTCTGGCGGTCTCGTATTAGTTGGTCACCCTGCGTAGTTTAGGAAATAACACGCGCAACGGCCGCGGGAAAAGGTGGCTGTGGTGATGGTGATAAGCACCAGCACAAACGTGCCGATAATATTGTAGATGGGGTAGCATCGAAGCTACCGAAAAGCCGGATACGTACTGAATGTGTCCATAGTATGAGGTATTGCAACCAAACGCCGTGGCATTCGTCAAAAAAGTGCGCCGGCACACAGACTACTACGTAGCATGCATGCGCCCAGACGTGCGGTGCACACGCGAGGTCAGCCGCTCCCCGCGAACTGAGATCGTATCCATAGCAGGGGCTGAGTTGTGCGTTATTGCGGGCTGGAAACATTCTGCCGCTTCGGTCGCTTCGGGGTGCCTCTGGTTTCCTACGAATGGGCCGCCAAAGTGTAGATGAACGTTTCAACTTTAGGATGGTCCATCCGTCTGGGTTCTTTTCCCAGCGACAGAACCCCCCCTTATCTATCGTATCTCCATGCAGAAGTGTGAGTTCTCTGCCGGCTTACGGGAATCTTATGCATGCACCTACACAAATGCAGAGCCAACCACCCTTAGGGGTCCGAAGGCGGCATCCCTGGACTCGTCCTCAGCTCATCGAAAGATCATCACGCATCTGGTGTTCTGCAGCCATACTTATAAAAAGGTAAGCATGTATTATAGAGGTCGTTAGTCAATGTCCTTGCCGATACCTAAGGTAGACAGCGAAATTGGTGGCGTTGAGGCTGTTATGCGATGTGTAGTCCTCTTCTTGATCTATGCCTCCCTAGCAAGTGGATGTTTACCGACAAACGCCATCGTCGCCCTAACCCTCCCTCATCCCAAATGAGCCTTGCCCAGGACAATGCTTAAATTCTCCCCACCTTGCCAAGTCTCGCTTGGTGGGCTTCCTAAACCCTTTCGATCGCGAGCTGAACCAGCCCTGTCGTAGGCTCGTGCCCGAAGACTTCACGGTACGTCTAGTTCATCTGCCTTTTTTCCTCTGTGGTACGTGACTCTCTCGCCTTGAATTATGCTAATTTGAACCAATCTCTATTTCTCTTGGTCGCTACTTCATTCCCCCATCCCTCTTAGCTCTTCACTTGACTATTCTCAAGGTCTAGTATCAGAACATCAGGCGGTAGAAAACCGTTTCCATTTGCGCCGGTGTAAACACGTGGATATGTGCTTGGCCCCGTTGGTGCTCTTCTGGATTTTGAATCCAAGAGTCGCCAAGATCTGAGCGCGGTGAATCCATGCACTACTGCGTAGATGCAAATGAAGGTTAGGCATCACGATAAGCTAGCCTGCTCATGGTGGATCGCTAACCCTTGTCTAGACCTTTGGTGCCAGTTGGTTTCGAGGCTGGAGCGACTTTGGCGTCGAATGCTGCCAAGAGAGCGCCTCGTGTGTTCTTCAGGGCTGGGACGCGATGAAGGAAGGACGGAGGCACCTGGACGTGAACTGTCACAGTGGAGACGCTCGGAAACCTCTCCTCTGCCATCTCTACCTCCCTCTTTTACACTCCTCCCGCCGGAGTTGCTTCATTGGTATCTTCGCGAACGTGAAGAGAGGATCTAGCGTTGTCTCTCTACCCTCCCTAGACCGTTGCCTCGTAGGCTACCACTCGTTTAGCCTGCCATTATAGTCAAGATGGGACTCGCTCCGCTCACAACGACGGTCACCGCTCTAGCGCCGCGAGAAACCGATGATCACGATGGCACGCCTCCCGCCGGCTCCTTGACCACGATATGGTCTGCTTCGCCAGGTTGTTACCCGGTATCTACCTCGCCCACGGTAGACATCGACCAATTTTGGTCATCACGTACACAATGCGGACCGCCTGGCTACATTAGCTACTTCGATATATACTACTACTCACCCGCCATCTGTCCCAGCGGATTTACCGTCGGATGTTCGCGATATGGATCCTTTCAGGGCCCTCCGGTGGAGCCTACGGAAACAGCGATGCTTTGCGTCATGAGGTAGGTATTTTTCCGGAGCGGTCAACGGATCTCGGCCATGTCTAACCGACGACAGTGGCTACTTCTGCACGCCAGGTAGCTGGAACTATTACGCGACCAATACAGAGCTGTCGGATGCGCAGATAATGATCCAGATCCGCTGGGCTGAAAGTGATCTGTCGATCTTGGAAACCCACCCCCTGACGCCCGGGTTGAAGTTGGTCGGCGTAGGCTCGGGCAGTGGGACGGAAACCGGGCAGCCGACTGACCCGACTGTGCCTGTAATCGAGAACACGGGAGACGAGGGTGGTCTGTCTACCGGGGCGCAGGTTGGAATCGGCGTTGGTGTGGGCTTGGCTGGCCTTCTTGCCATCGGACTCGCCCTCTTCTTCATTTTGCGGTACCGGAAGAAGAAGCAGGCGGGGGAGAATGTCGCGCAAAAACCTCTTCCCGGCCAGTACCCAACCCAGCAGTATCCGTTCACCCCCGGACCGGGTCAGCCGGGGCAGCCAGGTCTTCAAGGATATCCGTCGTACCCCGGATACACCGCGTATGTCGACCCGAATACTGGCGTCGTCTCGTATTACTCGTCTGTCCCTCAAGCTACGGAGATGGGCGATAGCGCGGCTCCGGGGTCGACCGTAGTTCAGAGCCAGGGCACGCCCTCCGTCGCGGGGTCTCAGTCCGCGCCCGCACCTAGGCGGGAATCTATGTTTTCCGTGCAGTCGACCCCCCCGGCAGCCAACCTCCCGGGCGATTACCCGCGGCCCTCCCCCGTCGCCGGGGAGCTCGATACAACGGCCCCGGCGCTGGCCGAGATGCCGGGAAGCGAAGGAGCTGCCCTGTCTTCCGTAGGAGGCGCGGATAACTTGCAAGCGCAGCAGGAGATGGCCTACCTGATGGCCGAGCAGGCAAAACTAGACGCGAGGAGGACGCGGCTGATGGAAATGGCAGAGCTCGACGAAGAGGAACAGCGGATACGGACGCGGATGCAGCAACTCCAACAGACGCAATGACGGATTTCCGGGCCGATCGCGGGACCGAGGACTCATCAGCGATGCCGGATGTGTCTATGCATGCATGCGCACATGCAAGCACACATGCAAGCATTACCTACGCGTCTACAAGGAGGGAGAACAAGGAGACCCAGGTGCCGAACCGGCCAGCACGTCTGCTCGATTTCCGCTAGGATGGGCGAGGCAGGCAGGCAGGCAGGCAGGCAGGCTGTGGTATGGGCCGAGGTTATGGTAATAGTATCGAAGCGAAGCGAGTATAGGCGGTGAAGGACTCGGTGGTCTCGTCTCAGATACCCCTCGGCGATATACGGTACAGATGGAATGTTGTGTGGTTATTTTATTCGTATCATTCTCGAATCGAGGGTGGGTCATGTGGAAGGAAACGCAGCAAGTCGGTATGTGCCCTGTTCTGACAGGTAATCCGCCTGGTGTATGAATATGTACCTAGGTACCTAACCTACATGTAGAGGAGCGGTAGGCGTAAGTAAAGTCTGCGGATGCAGGATGTTTATTAGGTAGGTAGGTACCTCGTGCATACCTCTTGTATAGGTATATATACGTTAGGTACATACATACCTAGGTATACTATAGACCTGGTCGACGACCCGGCCTCGACCCGGTACTGGCCTTAGTAATGATTGGTGTCGTCCATAGCAACCAGCGAACCTCCCCCATGTCGCCCTCCAATGGATGCTGCCTCCCTTCTCCCTCCGGCGACACCATTCAGAATTATCCAAGCAGGCAATTAATTCTGAAGCCACTGTTGACAGTCCCATCTTTAATGGAGGCTCTCTCGCGCATCCTGCATCGCGTAACGAGATAACTCGCCCCCGCAGCTCTTCCGCCACTCCATCTCTCATCACCCATTATCACCACCACCACTACCACCACCACCTTCGCCGTCACCGTCATCGCATCATTCCGCCGTAACTGCTACCATTGCCGTCCCCAGCTTTTCTCCCTCCACATCCATCGAAATTCATTTCCACACACGATCATCTCGAGTCGGTCTCCCGGAACACCGCCCCCCGCCTTTCAAATGGCGTCGCCAAGCAAAAAGAAGACCGAGATCACGGAGAAGGAGTCTCAGGTGCTCGCCCTCGCCTGGAAGTGCTTTAAGACCAACCCCGAGGTATGTGGCGCACCACCCGCCCCATTGTCACCTCCCCACAGCGGCTCCTCCCCCTCCCCTCCCTTCCTCCCCCTATTTGCCTAACTATTCCCATTCCTATCCCTATTATTGCATACCACATACTACCTCCTCAGTACATACATACGTACATGCCTGCCTGCACCCGCGGGACTTTCTGCCTGCTGATACATCCGATATCTAGGTTGATCTGAACAAGCTCGCCAAGTTAGCCGGCTATACCAATCCCCGAAGCGTGGCCAACGTGTTGTCTGGTAGGTCCTAGGTCCAGGCGGGCCTCGCTCTCTGTCTCTCTTGCTTTCCTCGCCCGTCTCTCGTCGCCTCCTCTCTCCGCTCCCCCGCTCCCCCTCTGCCATGTCCGACACAGCACCCGTCGGTTCCTTAGGGTCTGGGCTATCCGCCGCTAACTTGTGCTCTACTAGCTGTTAGGAAGAAGATCGCGGCGTCGATCTCCGAGGACGCCGAGGGCGACTCCGACTCGGTGCCGGTCACGCCTGTCAAGCGGGGACCCAGGGCCAAGGGCACCCCAGCCTCGAGCTCCCGTAAGCGCAAGGAGCCTGCCGACAGCGCCGGCAACGGTGGTGATGAGTCTCCATCAAAGCGCGCTCGGGGTAGCAAGGAGGCCGCTCCCGCTGCCGTAGCCGCTGCTGCTGCTCCTCCCGTCGTCAAGGACGAGCCTGATGATGCCCAGCACGTAAACGTCAAGCTGGAGGAAGACGCACCGTATGGTCACAGCGATGGAGACGACGATGCTGTTGTCGATTAACGGGTGGGCCGGGAGGCGCGTGGGCGAGGAAAAGGCAGGCTTCCGACGCACCTGGGTTAGGTAATCTTCGCTAGACGGATACTTTTAAAATCCGATGCTCGTTGATGCGGAGAAATTGCCTGGATGGGGTGTCGCCACACTGCATTTTGACATGTGTCGGTTCGACCGGGGATCATTCGCAATAGTTTTGTTTTCTCACGCTGGTCTCGAATACATCAAGCTCTCCTTCCTTCTCCTCTCAACTGCCCCGTGATAAGCCGGGGTTTTCCATGCCTTCCCCCCCTCCCTCATCTGAGCGACCGACGTCCGCGTGCGATGTGGTCGTGGGCTCGAAATGTATGGTGGGGACGTATTAAGGAAGAGCTACTTTTGAACGGGCGCCAGAACGCCTGAGGGCTTCCTATAGTCAGGGGCAGAGGTTTCTACTAGATTCACAGACCAATCAAATCGACCCCGTCCGCCGTCCTCCTACAACTCCCTGTCATCGCGATCTAACAATACACCATTGCCATCACCTGTCTATGGTGCCGTAGCTTACTCACTTCTAGACTCTACAGCTTATCGGTCCGCCGAATTCGCGACGGGGGCCTAGTATTCCAACTCGCCTGGCGTAGTCGATTCACTTCTGGTGCACAAAGCGGTATTAAAAAAAACAAGTGTGATGAAAGCACGGCGAAATCGCGCTGAGTATATTTAACCACTAGCTGGCTTGACGGCTTGCGGTGAGCTTTCCTTTTCAACTATCTACAGGTAATTAGAACGTTACTGGAGTCCGGGTCCTATGGGTCTAGCGTTCGTTGTCGTCCGTTGTCGTTGTCCGTTGTCGCTGAGTATCTAAGAGGTGTAGACACAGCCGTTAGGGTTGACGGCCTCGACAGCGCGAAGGGAGACGCCAAGGCAGTCCTTGTTCCCAGCTGGCTCCGCCACTCCGGTCGAAACCCACAAGCTCCAAGCGCCGTCGATGCTGTTGGGGCAGGCGAGGAAAGCGGCACCGTTGAAGTTCAGGTTGTTGTTGGCATCCAGAGCGAACGTGCCCCTCTCGCCGTTCTTTGGCGTCGGCTGTGCGCCCGTGGTGAAGCCGATAACGCCCTGACCTGGACGGAAGTTAGCAAGGGTCGACTGAGCCGGTAGCAAGGAACCCGGTGCCGTCGGCAGAACTTACCCATTCCGGAGCGGTCGGCATACAGCTGCTGGGGCGTAGCCGAGGCGGCGTAGAGGAAGAGCCCGCCGTCCTTCAGGTAAAAGGTGGCCTGGGTAGCGGCCTCGCCGTCGCAGCTGGCCTCCTGGTTGGGCAGCTGCAGGAAGAGGCCGCTCTTGGCGGCCGAAACGCTAGAGAAGTGAACCGGGCTGGCGGATCGCAGGGCCATCAGCGTGAACTTAGCATCGGCCGGGAGGGGTCCCTCGGTCTGCGCGACGGCTGAGGCCCCGAAAACGAGTGCGGCGGTAGCGAGAGTCTTGAACATGATGGCGGTAGCGGTGGCTTGTCAGGTGTTCCTGGGCGAAGGTTGATGTGAGGCGAGAAGGAGGAAGCGTTTGAAGATGTTGGCAAAGGCGAGTGAGTTGAGCTCTGGGGTGACGAGAAAGAAGACTGTAGGTAACTATGGGGGATGTGAGGTCTTCTTATACGCAACCGCCTTCCCGCGGATCTTCGTGCCGTCGGTGATGTCTGAGGCATACGAAGAGCTCCGGCTGGCCATCAGTTGTCCCACCACGCATCATTGGGATGATACGAGGCGGAGAATACGAGTCAGACTGCTCTGGTCCCATCGACGTAGAGCCGATTGGGCCGGCTGAAGCATCTCTCTGGGACGTGGTTTGAAGGGGCCCCCGGTTTGTGGGTACGGTGTTATGTACGCAGTACCATTATGGGTGGGAGATGATCGACATCGTGTGCCGGTGCGCGAGCTGACGATGTCACCCCATTAGCTGTTGGTAGATGGCGATCGCGAGAAGGAACAGAGAGAGAAGGCCACCGGCTACATTCGGTGCATGCGACAAGCATCGGTGCGTTGGGTAATGCACCCTGCTATTTTCTGCCACGTGATCTCGACCTGAGGCCAGGACATCGACAAGGTACCTAAGGTAGGTAGATAGGTACGTACCATGCATACGTACCTAGGTACCCGTAGCCACCTTGGGTTCGAGGAGGCAGATATTGGGCGGTATCGAGGACAACCCCCCCCCTCCCCTCTCCTCTCCCCCGGCTGATGTCTATCAGGTAAGGCGGGTGGACGTGTATGCGTCTGTCTGTATGTATGTATGTACATACATCAGGTACATAAGGTAGAACGGGGGTTATAGGCTATCTAACGGCAAATATTCGAGGTGCCGAACGCACGACGGGTACTACTACGTAGTATGCGGCAGGAAAGTTATGGGTCTCACGGCTTCTACCCGCACCCCGCCCCCTTCTAAATACCACCGCTAGCCAGTTGCTGGAAAACAGGTTTAGGGGCTGTGGGCCCATTACGGTCGCCCCGTTGTTCGGATAGCCTCTCTCTGCCTTCTATTACTGCGGCACGATTTTCATTTGCTAATTGCAAGGGCCGAGAGAATGTACGTGTGTGTATGCACGTATCTACGATTTTATCCGCCGTGACTTGAATGCTGCGACGAAGATTTGCCTAGGGATCCTATCCATCCACGCCCAAAGTACCTAGCCTCTCTATGTTTACACACTTGCGTATTTAGAAGATGTCGAGCCCCTGCGTGAGTGGCGGACGTGGCGGGCGTGGAAACCCTCCCCACGTAGAGTTCGGACAAGCGGAGTCCGAGACCAGAGCGAGGGAGAGCTAGGAGCTGGACAGCACGAACTTCTTACACGACCAGACGGGCAATACGTTGACGTGGGTGGGATCTTAGAGTTGTACGTAAGAGGAACGAAAAAAGAAAACAAGCTAATGTCAAAATTTTAATTATTATGCCTCCAGGTCATTTAGTGGTGTAAGTGCATTTTGCAGATCTTATATCACCCTCCCTTGAGTAATACGCACATGAACCCAAAATTGCCTGGGTCAGGATGGGAAATTAAACCAACTTGGATCGAGGCGTCTCTACCGCTGTACTACTCGCTGGAGGCTTCAAGTATCGTCCGGCATATATGCAAACGTACACACGTTGCCCGAGTCGAATTATCTAATGGTTGGTCAGCCCTCTATATACCATCTCCGAACATCTGTCTTCGTCCTTAAAAACGTGCCCCCACCGTGTCTACGTAATATGTAGGTGCATGGCTTTATCCAGGTGCGTATTGCCTGAATAGTTCCACGCTGAGTAGGTAGTTCAGCAGCAATGTAGAGTCAAGTTACGAGTAGCAGTATTCATAGGAAGTAGACACTTGCTCGTCGGCATGTACATAGCCACATTAAGCCTGGGTTGTGGCCTTTCAACTACCTACCCAAAACGTAAACTTGCTGTCTCGACGCCAAATCTGATTGGGCGATGACAACATACATACACGCGCCATCCATCCATCGTTCTACGCCCTCCGTGATCTCATTGTGGAACTCATACCCACCAGCATCCCCTTCATTCCTTGTCTTAGCTGTCATCCCTTAGGTTGGTTTGTAGTAGGTGCATTTCCCGGAATTTGGTCTCATGTTCGAGACCGGCTTGCTGAGGCAAACTATGGGGGTGTATTGGTCGAGTCTTCCGTAAGCAAAACAACTTCGGCAACCCACGTAGAACAAGCCAAAAACTTAACCATGACAACGAAAGGAGCAAGGTCTGTTGGGAAATTTCTCACACAAGGGCGGAAATGATGTGCGCAAGGAGACAGTTCCGGAACAGACCGTGCTGCCCCCTAACGTCACCCCACCGCCGCTGGTGGGCCAAATGCACCCACGCCAGCGGTAGACAGGCATGGCATGTAAAAGGCTATGTAGGTCGGCCTCATACTACGTAACATACATACATACGTGGGAGGATGTGTTGTCCCTGACCGCTGGATAATCTTTGCAACGAGAGTTTTCAAGCAAAGCCAGCTCAGAAGCAAGACCATGGTTGAACGAAGACAATCAACCCCAGCCCAAGAAGAGAACGGTAAAGATATTGGGTCGACTAACAGAGAGGTAGCTAATCATAAGCCCTGGAGCTTCCGAGAAATCGAAAGGTGGAATTTTCTTTCTCCGTGATGGCCATCTCCTCTAGGTCTTCTGACCTTTCTCCTAATCACTTTAAGTCGAGCAATGCTTAGGCATCTCGAACAACCTCGTCGTATTCAGCGACAACCCTTTTACTGTTGACATCCATACCGCTCCTCTTTGCCAAGGCACTTTCGCTTCCAAAACAGCGGACATCTCCTCAAGGGTCTTCCCTTTTGTTTCGACTACATGATTATTAGTAGTAGTTGGCTAAGAAGCTAGGTTGGCCCGAGGCTTACCCATGGCGTATCGCACGAAGAGAAACGCAAATACGCATATGCCGGGGTAGATGATGTAAAGACCCCGGCCGATGGCCGTGGCTATCGGGGGACCTGCTTGCGCGACGGTGTAACAACTCAGCCACAAGCTCGCGGTCGAGAGCGCATTGCCCTTTGCTCGGTACATCGCCGGGGAAATTTCCGTCGCATATGTCCAACTGCCCACGCCCCAGCTTACGTTAAAGAGTACGTAGAACAAGTAGAGGAAGGCCACGATGGCATAGTTCCCGTTACTTCCCGGGGTCCTCTCGGCATGCTACTGCGGGACGGCAATGCCTATCATGGCACAACACATACCGACTAGGCCAATCTGCAACCGTGTCTTGCGCCCGAGGCGGTCGAAGACAAACATGGGAACCCAGGCAGAGACGAAGAGAACAATGCCAATACCACCCGTAGCGAGATTGGCGAGTTTCGGGTCAGTGATGCCTCCACGCTCAAAAAGCGATGGTTAATCCTCTTTTTTAGTATCTTCAATGTAGACAACACACACTGGGAAGTTGATAATAGTTGATACTTAAAAAAATACGGTGTAGTAAAGAATGGAATTGGTCCCGGCGATTTGCTGGAAGAACTGCACGCCCATACCAAGTAGGGTAACCCTTAACACGGGGCGCTTGAACATGTCTTGCCACGTTGCCGTCGCTACCGCTTTTTCAAAGGCCACCTCGTCAGCGATCTCGGCCATTTGTAAGTTAGCCGAGTCGTCGCCGTGATGTCGAGCGAGGACCTCTCAGGCACACTAGCGCCTGTCCTGCTGGACTAACCACCGGGGGCTGGGCGGAACCCAGGTTCAACAACCGATTCCCAGCAGAATCGCCGGCAAGACCTGGATGGCTAGAGGGATACGGCACCAACCGGGAGTCTCGAGGTAGTTAAAGCCGTAATCCAGCCAGAAAGTGGCGAGCTCGCCGAGACAGAGAATCATCTGCTCGATCCCGATAATACGGCCCCGGAGCTTTGCCGGCGCGATCTCGGACACGTAAAGAGGAACACTTCCCGCGCAGGTACTCACTCCATATCCGAGGATCACGCGGCCGAGAGTGATAGCCGTGATATTGTAGGAGGCCGATTGCCCAACTGCTCCTGTCACGAAGACCACGCTGGCAATGGTCAGCATTCGTCCGCGGCCATAACGATCGGCGAGATATCCAATCGACATGGCCCCAACCAAGCACCCGATATCGTAAAGCGACACCACCGCTCCCGTCACCCAATTGTTTTCCGCTTCATGAGCGATATTCACCTGGCATCCGCTACGATGACGCCCGTGACTTCTTTGTCTGGATGAAGCCGTCAGACAGTGTTCCGAACTAGGCCGACGCGATTTTATAATAGAGGCCGATTCTTACCATATCCAAAGAGCATCGCGCCGATGGAGACGAAAGCAGTGAGGAAGTACACATAGCAGAGGTTTGGAGGACATGTTCCAGTCTCATCAGCCGTGCGGCAGATAGGGGTGGTTTGCTTGAGCTCCATCATTTTGACGCATAATACTCAGCACACACCGTCGACTGTCGGGAAGAAGCGGCCGTCGGTTTCCCGTGAGAATACGGGATCGAGGAGTTGCTTCGCTTAGAGGTTGTCATATCTGAATGGCCTATCAGCTACTTATCATTACATCACAAACTCATATTCAACTCCACAACATAGGGTGGGCAGGAAGATTTCCCCGCTGCGGTCCTCTGACTTGCGGGGTGGTCGTGGAGTAATGGAGAGGAGGCCCAGAGTGGTGACAACGGGGATGCATGAGAAGACCTCTCGTCATGGCTATTCGCTCGCGTCGACTCCGAATCCAGCAACGATCGTCCTATCAACAGATGTCTTCGCTATATGAAAACACCGAAATCGCAGATATACAACCTTGGTACCGATCTGAACGCCAATTGTATGGCTTCTTTTCTGCCAACGACGACAGCCAAAACTGGATATGTCACATCTAGAACACACCCGAGGGGGTATCTACGTTGGGCGCTGTCGTGCGGAGATGTCGGGTACTACCTATCTATCTCCTAGGTCGGCTGACCTGATTTCCTGGAGTATATTAAATAATCATTCATTATTCGGAACTTCATCCTGTTCAATATCGACTTACGCCGCCGTCCCGCAGAAATAGCCCCTATTGAGGATAGCAAGCGTATTGTGCTTCTTCAACTACGACTAGACGTCCCACAGTTTCGCTACCCAGACCATGCCGCACGCCACGACGCCCCTGCACGTCAACGACGGACTCCTGAGGCCTGAGCAGGTCGGGAGCCTCCGGCCTTCGTTTCCTGATGAACCCCTAGCGGATCTACGCGAGCGTTATCAGCGCGATGGGTATCTCTTCCTCAAGGGTCTCCTACCGCGGAACGACGTGCTCAAAGCTAGGGAGGCCTACTTCGCCTTTTTAGAGCCCAGTGGTGTTCTTGCTCCCGGTACAAACCCCGTCGACGGGGTATTTGATGCCCAAAAGGACCAGCTAGATTTCCCAGGAATGGTGCGTACAGTTCCACCGAGACCAACTACGCTTCCCCTTGACCGCTCTCGAGCTAATGACTGCCAATGAATAATAGTATGTAGGCAATCACATTCTTTAGTTACCGACTTAATGCTATTTGTATTATGGTGCTATAATAACGGTTGGATTTCGTTTGGTACTGGAGTTGAGATATTTCTAGGGGGCAATCCTAATATTTGACACTAGAGGTGCTGGCTCGGCCGATGCGAACGGGCGCCCTCAAGGTGGTCTCTTCGTCGACCTCGCCCTACAGGCTCATTCGGAGCCCTGGTATAAGGAGGTATTCTGCAAACACCCCGCCCTCCGGTCTTTCATCGCCAAGTTCACGGGGTGGGACGACAACACCCTCGGCCTCACCAGGTCCCTGCTGAGGAACAACACACCCCACAACAAGGCAATTGGCGTACACTACGATCAGATATTCCTACGCCATGGCAACGATGACAGCATGACTGCCTGGGTCCCCATGGGCGACATAGCCCTAGACGGCGGTGGGCTGATCTACTTGGAGAACGGCCACACGCTTGGCCAAGAGATCGAAGCCAACTTCTCCATTCGGGCTCGGGAGACTGGTCTGACGGAGGAGGAGGCCAAGAGCGCGTTTAACAAGAACATGACGGGTGGGGCGATGTTAGCAGACGGCGCGAAAGACTTCTGCGAAACTCACGGACGTAGATGGCTTGTTACCGACTACGAAGCCGGTGACGTTGTCCTGCATACGCCCTACGCGGTAAGACCTGAGAGAGAGGCTGGACGAGAGCGGCTGGTTAGCTGACGAAAACTCGGAAGATCCACGCATCGACCATTAATAAGGATCCCAGGAACATCATCCGACTGGGGACGGATTTGAGGTTTGTCGACTCGTCGAACACATATGACAAGGTGAGTATTGACCATGACCACACACCTGAATTCGATTTGGCGTTAACAGGTCCAATAGCGATGGCTGAAAGTCTTCGCGTTTGGAGACGGAGTCTAGGCGCGATACTGTGACCCAAAAGTGGTTTAGCTTATGAATTGAGAGCAGCTGAAATCTAAAGGGCCAGGCTATACAAACCCATAAGCCGATGCTCAGCCACCACATTTATATCTACAAATTCAGGACTGCTATTCCAAATGACTTAGGCTACGTCAAGTTGGGGCTTGTCGACCGGTCCGCCTCGGTTCGTAAATGCACCTACAGGATCTCTCTTTGGGTGTGGATCCCAATGTGGAACGCCGTGTCAATGTTTACCACGTAGTATTACCTACCTATCTATATACGCTTCTTCGTTGAAAGCAGAATCCGAAGAAATAACTACTCGACAATACAAGCTCGATCAACTAGGTGTAAATCAAACAACACAACTCACTTTTCTTCAATTGCTTATATTCACTTTACCTATACGGCGTGCTGGTTACTAACGCCACCTCCTCGACCCCCTTCTCCTTAGGAGATTATGTCACCTTTTCCAACAATTCTTCGGCGATTATGCACATCGAGGCTAGGTGCGGACGGCACGTAGATCAATATGAACATAAGCCCTCACATCTACCCCAGCAGCGACTCCGTCATAGAATAGAGGCGGTATTATAAAGTGTAATATAGGTAGGGGGGTTGAAGACGCAGCCCAAATTATGTCATGATCTGCAAGGTGACCTTGGCTTGAGTTGCGGCTATACATATGTAGTTGATCATGGCCTACGATGGGCTAGAGATACTAGCTCTCAGGACTCGGTAGGTGGGTATGAAAGTAGGTAGTAACTGAGATGCCGGGATTATCCATAAGCGAATGAAACAAAGTGAGCAATGAATTTCCGGGTCTCGGCTCCTTCCCGGGATTCAACTGGCCCCTGGGCTAATACACCGATAACGCCGCAAGCAGTATTGGGTACAGGATGTATGCTTTCCTAGCTGGCAGGTGACAAGTTGCTAAGCATGAGACCATGTAATTGGGTCGTATGTTTTCAGGATCAAGCCAAGTAGCCGTGTGTGTATCTGCGCGTAAAACCCACATCTGGCCGACAACTCCTCGTTCTCCTGGGATCCTGAGGCTTGTTCCTAGGCTTTGTATGGGGCGGCTGAAATATCCCACTCTCTTTGCAGCTAGCGTCATGATCTACGAGTTCCTAACAGCTTGTGGAATCGAGCTACGACTTCGAAGTCTTGTCATGCTGCCGCACCACTGCCCCCTAGTACTTCAGCTTGGTGGGGGTTTCCCTAGCTTCAGCATGGGAGAATGGTCTCAACATGCTAGGAACGGGAGGAAAGAGTGTAAGCTCTATTGGTCGTGAGGCGAATCTGATCGTACTACCGAGGCCGAAAAGCATGAACAAGCAACTGGTTTGAAATAGGGCGAGGAGGGATGAGGGAGGGTAGAGCGATGGGCTCAATAGGCCAGAAATGAGAATCTGATAAAAATGATACTGTCTATCGTGAACTGATCTCTGATCGCTACGAATTTTGCGTAGTATACTGTTGATATGAGCGCCCTCCGGCGAATCGACGACATCTTTTCCTATCACGACCTGACCGAACCGTCAAGGACACAACGGCCAGTAGAATGCACCTGGCGTAGACGCGACCCTCGACACCTAAAGTGATCCGCCAAGCCATGGCGGGCGAGGAATCACTCATTGATCGCATCGGCAAATACAACAATCTCGATGACCCGGTGCCGTCATGGAATCGACCCGGCGTTGTCGCGACGGTATCAGCTTCGATGATGGTGAGTGAGGTCAATCTAACTCGACGGAGCGGGCCTAACATATTCGACTCAGTGTTTCTCAGGGATATGTGTGCTCTACCGTCTGTACGTGAGAGTTGTGATAATCAAGGCTAAAGGATGGGACGACTTCTTTATCTCACTTTACCTCGTATGGCTCACCGCCTCGAAGCTTACACCCACAATTGACAAGACTGAAATAGGCTTTCGGGCTCCTTGCCGGAGTATCGATATGTCTGGGTAAGCCAAGGCCAATTGTGTCCCCTATTGCAGCCGTCGGATCGCGACAAAGTTGCTGATGGGTTCTAAGCGCCTCGATACGGGTTGGGGGATCACTTCGTCAAGCTGGGGTATGATGGCATGCAATCCTACTTCAAGGTATGAAAAGCTCAACATACTTACGTAGTACGATACTGACAAGAGGTCATGCCGCTTCAGGTGTTTTACGTAATCAACGCATCCTATAACGTATCCACGACCTTGATCAAGATATCGCTCTTGTTTCAATACCTGCGCGTCTTCCGCGACGGCAAGATGAGGGTGATATGCATTACGATGCTCGTTCTCACTGGCCTGTGGGGCGGAGCATACTCCTTCATGGCATGGGTGCCGTGTTTTCCTGTACGCGGCTATTGGACTTGGTCTGTGGGCGCGAAATGCTACGGTTTCGGTTCGACGAAGGCCGACGAGGTTTTTGCCGTCTGGGTGTCCCATACCGCGGTAAATGCGGTACTGGATATGGTCGTGTTCCTGATTCCTATGCCGCTCTATTTTGAGCGAGGCACGACTCGCCGGACCAAGGTGGGATTAGCTGGTCTACTCGTCTTGGGATCGGTGGTGATCGGATTGTCAATGTGGCGACTAGCCACGATCGTCGAGAATAAAGCGTCAACGAGTCCCGCGTTCGACCCGACGTGGTATACCCCCATTAGCATCGTACTGGGCGTCCTGGAGGTCACGATAGCTAGTATCTGCGCCTCGGTACCGATCTTCTGGCCGTCGCTGAGAGCGCGTCTCGACGAGATTTTCATCACGAGGGAGATCACCGTGACGAGAGGCCGCCGGTCTAGCCGATTCTCCGCAGTTGACTGCGGCAATGCGGTGGAGCTCCAGCACGGCGCAGGCGAGAGTAGCCGGAATACAGAAAGCAAGTGGTTGAGATGTTCCAGTAGGGCAGGTAGCGAAACAAGCCGGAGTCGGCTAGCTGAGATCAGGCCGGCGGAAAAGAAGACCCGGCACTACATGGGTGATTTCATCCAAGACCAGGTGGACCCTCTGAGAAAGAAGGGGCCTTTCGTCGTCGAGTCGGAAATCGTGTCAGGCGGGGCCAAGGGGCCGAAGCTGGGAGGGCTTTCGCGGAGTAGGTGAGGGTTGATGAGAGGATCGCCTGGTCTTGTTATTATTAATCAATAGCAAAAAGTAGTACCTATGCTTCTCGTCCCGTAGTGTCCGAAGGTGCGATCAGGTGTACGAATTCGGAGATCAGAGAGGATTCGCACTCGTCTCGTCGACGTAGACGCGGGGACAACATTACCTACCTAGACGCAGCGCCTCTTGAGGAGGATTGGCGTGAGATACCTAGTAAACAACGGATACGAACGGAATGCATCCGAGATAATAGATCCACGTAGGGGGCACGTTTATATCATGTACACAGATAAGTAGATAAACCATGGGGACTGCCCTTATAGACAACACAGTCCCGCTAGGTTCATATGTGGTATACCTGGGTAAGTCTCCTACCTGTCGAGGTACTTATGGCACGTAAGCGTAGGAAAGGGATTACAATACAGTTACGTAACAGAAGGCGGGCATCGCCTCGGCGTAGGGAGGTACCTGGACAAGGCCCGGTACCACCCATAGGTATGTACGTATGTATCTACCCGCTTATGATTGAATCAGGGGCTTCACAGAGGCGTCAATGTGGGCTACCTACCTCAGGTATCTACTTGATGGATCGACGGCTCTATATGCACCCCATATACATCCCCCCTCCCTATCTACAACGACCCAACCGCGGAAAGATTTCATTCTTTCCTTGCTCATCTGATAACACGTCAGGTTGTACAAACCGATCATAGCCAATATGGATGCGTTACGACGCAGCGGTCTCGTGTGTCTCAGCCACTGCCTCTTACACCTCTCCTCTGCCTGATGTAGGCGAGGCGTAGGACTCTCCGACCGTCCATGGGGACTACTGGGCTCTCTGCCTCCTCCATCCGACAAAGAGCAAGAGAGGGCTCGACAAATCGGGAAAAAGCCCTGTCCGCGTTTCCCACCCATCTCCTCCGGGCCACCCGCCCTCTCCCGCTCTCTTCCCCTCTCTTCCTCTCTCCTCCTCGCCCTTCCTCTCTCCTCCTCTCTGTTCCTCTCTGCAAGCTCCTGGCTGCCCGCTTACTGCGTCCGTCACCATGGAGCGCCAGCGTTATCCGCGCACCACCAAAGGCGACGCCGTCTCCCCTCTCCTACTCGACGTTGTGGCGGGTAGGAGCACGAGGCTGCGGCAACTTCGAAAATTCTTGGCTGGTTCGGTTATCGCGTCCCTTGCGTTTTCTCTCGTCCTCGGCTCGGCCCGCGGGACGCACGCGTTCGTCAGTCGATCTGCGAGTCCAAAACGCCAGGAGGCCGGTGAAACCGACTGGGATTGGACCCAACTCGAACCCAGTAGAACACTGCAATGGCACCGCTGCTACAACGATACCTACGACTGCGCGAGGCTCGATATCCCCCTGGACTGGCTGGATCCGTCTGACGATCCGCAGGATCGTGTCGCGCTGGGTGTCATACGCCTTAGAGCCAGCGCGCTCGACGACTACAAGGGCCCTCTCTTATTCAATCCGGGAGGGCCTGGTGGATCGGGCGTTGCGGCACTCATAAACCGCGGTGCGCTGTTGCAAGCTATTGCGGGGAGGAACTACGACATCGTGTCCTTCGACCCTAGGGGTATTGGCACAACGATTCCGCGGATCGAATGCTGGGATTCGCCCGAGAGTGGCCTTATCTGGGATTTACAGGATCCCGGAGTTGTCGATGCACACCCGGGCGTCATCTTTGACAATTTTGCCCGGGCGACTCTCCTCGCGCAAGTCTGCGAGCAGCACCCCAGCTCGCGCCTCCTCCCATACGTCAGCACCGCCTCTCATGCTAGGGACATGCTCGAAATTTTACACCAGATGGGGTATGAGAAGCTCGCGTACTGGGGATTCAGTTACGGGACGGTCCTAGGAGGCGTAAGCTCCCCCTCCCAACCCCCAAATCTGTCGGATGATCTACCTTTAACTATTCTTCATTCCTGCCCACGGGAACCTTACCAGTTGAGAGGAAGGTGCTAATTCTAGCTATCGCAGGTTTTTGCTGCCTTGTATCCTGACAAAATAGAGAGGCTTGTCAGCGATGGTATGTATCGCCACATCTCCATCTCGGCTCTCAGCAAAAACTGACAGAGGTATGCTTCTAGGCAATGTGGACTACAGGGAGTGGTTTACACATGCACATGTCAACTTTTTGCGCGACACAGACAAGGTTATGCTAGCATTCTTCAGGTACTGCCATCAAGTCGGCCCGTCACGTTGCGACTTCTGGGCACCGTCTCCACAGGCAATACAAGAGCGGCTCGCTGATCTGCTCGATCGCATCCGGGAGCATCCCGTGATCGTGCCAGCTTCGGAGTCGGGGCCGTCAATGCCCCAACTCGTCACTTGGTCTCGCGTCAAGCGACAGCTCTCCACCACGCTGTACCAACCCCTCTACATGTTTAGCAACTTTGCCACAGCAGCGAAAGCGTTAGAGGACGGAAATGGAGAACCTTTTTATCGACTAAGCCCGGGTAATTTTATATCTTCGGTGTGCTCGGTCGATGGCGTCCCGTCTGATAGGCCTAGGCTAGAGGAAGGAAACGCTGATGCGTTTCCTGCCATTCTCTGTGCTGACTCCCCCCCGGCAGACGACACGCTCGAGATCTTTGCAAAGTTTGTCGATGGTCTTATCGATATCAGCTCATCAGTCGGCGATGTCCTAGCTCTCTTTAGAACGGCCTGCGTAGGCAGAACGATCCGGCCTAAGTGGAGGTTTGCCGGGCCATTCGAGGGCAACACCAGTCACCCGATCCTCTACGTGGCTAACATAGCAGACAATGTAGCGCCTCTCATTAGTGCCAGGAACAATTCCGAAGGCTTCCCGGGCTCTGTGATACTGGTACAGAATGTATACGGCGTAAGCGCGAGTGGCTTTCTTGTACTTCTGAGAACAGAATGCTAACTTCGAGCGCATCATCTAGCATACTAGTCTCGCTGCGCCCTCGGCTTGCACAGCTGGGTACATCCGTGCCTACTTTCAGAATGGGACGCTTCCGGCGCCGGGAACAGTTTGCGAGCCAGACTACTATCCGTTTGACACCTTGCCAACTACAGAAGCGGGGGATGAGCTATCTGTGGCGTATCGTGAGTTGTCCAAGGCTAATTGGAACTTTCAGCCCAAACCCTAGCTATAAGAGCTCGGGGAGCAGAACATTGTGAACAGAGACGATTATTTTATTAAGGGGTAGGTTATAGTTGTCATTTCTATTGAACTACCTACTTGGTTGCCATAGTGTCGCTTCCGATTATAGAGTTAGTAGAATTTCACAGCTAATTGTTCTCTCGACATGAATCCGTATTCGAAGCCCCCCGTCTGTCACTCGACCAGGTTGTTCCTCTCACTAGAAAAGCATTAGCGTATTTTCCCTCAAATCCTAAACGAGGTTTCACCTACGGCAGCTCAAAGTCAGTCATAAATGTCGATGCCATAAAGGCGAGTGTCGCAGGTCCTAGGGCAGCGTATGCCATGTATTTCATGACCTGTGAAAACTATATCCGCGGGGTAAGCACGGCGTAGTTAGACGGGCTCAAGGAGTGGGTGTCTTATTATTATTACTTACTGCGAGATTGACGGCCGTCCGCTCGGGCGTACCCCAGTCAGGCACAACTCCCGTTATCGAGTTTGCCAACGCGGTCACGGTCTCCGCCGTCACGCTGTTTCCTAGGTAGCGCCTCAGCAGGGGCTCGATGGTTTCGGTATATATGCCGCCGGCGATGCAGGAGCCGACGCTACTGCCGACGAAGGAGAAGCAGATGACAAGCGCGGTGACCTGGGGCATCTCGGCGTGGGTGACGACGATCTGGGCGGGGAGGAGCAGGGTCAGGCCGACCATGCCGCTGCCAAGACCCTGTATGATCTGCACAATAAAGAGCTCGCCCAGGCTGTTGTCGGAGCCACGTAGGCGGAGCATTACGCCGTAGCCGATGAGACGCACGGTGGCGCCCACGATGCAGACCCACTTGTAGCGCTTCGCCTTGGCAATAATTAGGCCGGTAACGATGGCGGTCAAGCATTGCATCACGCCGTTGGAGTCTAAACAACCGTTAACCTCACGGAGGCCTTACCCACCGAGAATGCGGACAAGGCCTTCGGGTCTGCTTACAGGAGAAAAAGGTGGCGTCGCGGACGGACATCCCTCGCGCCACGGTAGCCCAAAGATAGAGAAACCCATCTGCGATAGCAGAGATTTAGCATTCTTCCTGTTAGGCGAATCATAGAGAGGGCCTGGGCGCGGAGCCCATCACCGGAGGGCCTTGCTATAGGGTAGCGTGACACCTAAGGAAAATGTTCCCTTACGTGTTATCGAGAAGCTCATACTATCTAGCGCGATGAGTAGGCAGCAGAGGGATATCGTGGGGTTGGCGAAATAATGGGGGGGCACGACGGGATGCTTTGCGAGGTAGTGCTCGTAGAATGGGAGCACGGCGAGGAGCACGGCGCCGAGCACGACGAGCGCGATGATCCATGGCGTCTTCCAGTTGGAGGGGGTGGCGGCGGCGAGGGTCATGGGGATGAGCAGAAGGGCGAGGCCGCCGCTGAACAGGATGACACCGCCGAGGTCGATCTGCGAGCAGAATTCGTGCAGAGAGATCCTGATGGTTGGGGTGAGGCCTTGGCGGCGCGCGCGCACCTGGTAGTACAGCAGAGTGGCGATGATGAAGCTCGCACAGAAGGGCATGAGGATGGCGAACATGCCGATACCCCAACGCCAGCCGATGCCGCCCGGGGAGACGACGCTCTCGACGATGAAGCCGGCCGTCCAGGGGGTAATGAGGAAGGGCGAGAAGGAGATGGCGATGCCAAATGCGCGGTAGCGGGCGGTGGTCAGATCGGCGATCACGACATCGCTCATCAGGTTAGTAGCGGACTGGCCGAGCGAGTAAAAGATGGAGCTGGCAGCGAAGACATTGAATGAGTGGGCGGATGCCATGAGAACATAGGACAGGATGTAGAAGCCGACGGCGATCAGGTACGTGGCTCCGCGGCCGATAACGTTGGACAGTTTTGCAATGGGCGGCTTCGCGACGGCAAAGATAATGGTGCTGGCAATGCCTACGCTCGCGCTCTTAGATAACTCTTGGAACTCGGACACGGCATAGGTTCGATAGATAGAGACGGTGGTGTTATCGACCTCGCTACGCATGCGACACACACATCAATGCGGTGTCAGTGACCTCGGACCAGAGAAAGGAAAGAGGAGGGGATTGCCACGAATACGTATGGTGTAACGGGATCTCTTACTACACGATCATGAGCAGACACAACCTAGGAGAATACGTTCGTTAGCTCTCTGCTATGCTACACAGCCTAGATCTTGGAGACGCGCGGTCTCGTGGTTCCAGGACCCCCTTTCTCCCCCCTTTCTCCCCTCGCTGTCCCAAGGCGCATCTTACCCAGCAATGACGAGCCATCGGCCTTTCCGGCCCCAGATGGCTTGAGAAGCCTCAATCACGGTAGTGCCGGCCACGACAGAGACGTCGATGGACTGTTTCTCATTAGACTGCTTCTCATTAGACCGTTTCTCATTATCAATGTCGACGCGCACCGCGTCACCATCTACGGACTCCTGGCCATTGTTGGTAGGAGTGGCCAGGGCGGGCCGAAGGATGGGAGGGTCGCTTAAGGGGCCGGCGCCGATAGCTTTGAGTACGAATTTTGAGAGCGACGCCATGATTTACGACCGGGTTTGCACTGAAGAGCCAAGGTGCAGACTATCTCCGGCGTGGGACAGAAGGGGATGATCCCATTTCAACCCCTCTCTATTTATACCTACAGCAACGTTAAGCAAGCAAATATAATTACCGTGTTACCCATTCTGCCCGACCTGCCTTGGTGATCCCACTCTTCCTGGCGTCACCAGCGACTTCGGTTACGCACGGGCATGCGAACCGATTTGAGTCTCGCTCGGGAACAGATCAACCCTAGAAAGCCCATCCCACAGTATCGCCGCCTCTCTCTGCCCTAGGGCTTCCGTCGTTCTCGCTCGCTGCCGGGCGCTAACGGTACGTTGTCCCGGCGGGGGCTTGTCTCGGTGCCCAATGAAGAGGCACGGCCACGGAGACAGGCATCTATGTTTTGTTATCACGAGTCTGGGATTGGGAGCAGCTGCGGGGGGAATAAAGCAGGGGGTGCGGAACAAGAAACCCGGGGAGAGCATGTAGGGGATGATGATTGATTTTTCATCTCATAGGAGAGTCACGATGAAAGCGTGGAGAGGGAGTCGGTGGGAGGCCGCGAATCGGGTGTGGTGGAAGCTTAGCTTGGCACCTACCTGGTTGCGGTTGAGGGAGGGGAGGCAGGGTGCGTCTCCGTGTTATACGCATGTCTAGAGATAGGCTTGTATCGAAGACCAGTCGACAGCAAATCGGATGTGTTATAGGCATATAGCCAAAGTTGAAAAGGAAGTTTAAATATCTGAGGTTAGGTTATACGTTTAAAAGGTTAAAGTGCCTACCCCAAGTCGATTATCCTTGTAAGCCTGCGTTTAGTCGAAGTTGACTCTGTCATAGACCACGAATCCCTCAATCGCCGAGATGGGTAGGGAGAGGAGGATTGGCCATTTCGGCACGCGCTGATGCGCCAATGGAATATAGGTAAGGAGAAATTCCTAGGGATTAGTATCAGAATGATGTAGTTACCGAGAAAGATTGTCAAAAGGGGGCGCGAGTTAGTCTGGTATGTCCCGTACTATGCCCCCTGCAACTTTCTGGACTTCGTGTAGGCTTTGTACCAAAGAAAAACCGGAAAAAGGAGAACTTGAAGGTGTTCTGCGATATCCACCCATTGCAGAAATTACGAGAATCACGTCGGTATTGCGCTTCCTACGTGAATAATATTCGCTTAGGGAATTGCCCCCGTTCGGGCGGGCTGTTCACTGCCGGCCGGCATCGCCAACCACCACGTGTCTGCCTGCCCTCTCAAGGCATTGCCGGGGGCATCTTCTGCACACGTAGGTGACTACCGGCCGGCATGAGACACACACATTTCCACTTGGTGGTTCCAGAGTCGCATAATATCTTCAGCAGCTGATCACCTCCACCTATGCACAGGGTGAATCCCACCGTTTATCCGGAGTACCGCGTAGAACCATGCAACCCGACGAGTTCAGCCTAAATCCGGACTGCCCTAGACGTATGACATATAGAGCAACTGCGGCGCCAGCCGAGGGCGCCTATCTACACATCTGCCCTCTTCACCTCTGATACCTCCGCTGTTGGGCCCGAGTGCTCTTTCGTGATAACGTTATCTTCGTGGTGGCCGACAACCTTCTCGACGGCGTGGACGGCCTCGTCGGCAAGCGCCTTGTCCTCGAACACTGTAGCAGTCGCAACGTGTAAGCTCTGCCCTCCCAGTCTGATGGTGGGGGTCTAGACGAAAGCGATGTTGCGTTGAACTTACAGAAGGCTAATTCTTCCAAGGTTCGACCGAACGTCTCGGGGAACATGAAGTAGACAAACGCGATCTCGAACGCGAGGAAGCAACAGTACGAGATGAGGTACCGCCAGCTCACGTTTCTCAGCCCGATGGGGTTGACGAAGGTCGTGAAGAATCCCGCAAGACGACCGAAGAGCTGGAAGAAGGCGATACCGCGGGAACGCTCTGCGTACGGCCAGAGCTCGACGAGGAAAGCTGCGCGCGTTCAGGAATTAGCAACGAGTGAGGCACGATGCGTCGGGACAGTCGTAGGGGTCACTAACTATAAGTCAAGGCGTTGTATCCGATGTTGTAGCAGGGCGAGTAGGCAAAGATCCAGAAGATCGTAGCCACGTTCGCCGCGTTGTTGGGGTTCCCCGACTCATTGCCGGCGATGGCCCTCTCCATGCTGATCGTCCAGGAAATGTACACACAGAGTAGCGAGATCGTACAAGCTAGATACATGTGCCGCCGCTTGAACTTGGTCACAAGCATCGCGGCACATGTACCGCAGACGAGCTGCCAGCACGAACTAGCCAGGTTGATCTGCTGCTTGAAGATAGAGTCGCTCTTGCCGATCATCGCCAGGAGGTCGCCGAGGTAGTACGAGATGAGCGTGTTGCCGGACCATTGGGTGAAGAGACCCAGCATCTGGAGCGGAAGAGGTTAGCAACGGCAATGCTTCGCCTTGCTTGGTAAATAACCCGCTAAAAGGACAGGATGTGGGTCTTCAAGGCCGGAGCGGACCTGGGAGCCAAGATAGAAATGGGAAAGGGGTCAACATACGCAGCTAATCAACAAGCGGCGGCGCATACCGGCCGTGGCGAATAGGTCAGCCCACGACTTGCTCGAGTGCTCGAGTTCGATGTTGATGGTGGCCTGGATCTGAGCGAACTCGGCCTTTACGAACTCGGATTCGCGGTCGTCTTCGCCGTGGTACTTGACTAGGATCTCGTACGCCTCCTCGGATCTGTCCTGGCTTACCAGCCATCGAGGGCTCTCCGGGAGGAGGCTACGCGGCGAAGAAATCAGATTTTGCCGCGCCGGGAACGGGGCGGGAGGAGTGCAGAGTTCACGTGAACTTACAAGGTGAAGGCAATCTGCACTAGCGAGGGGCACATCTGAAGCCACGAAGGGATCTTCCACGCCATGTTCGTGGTGATGTTGTTCGTTCCGAAGCAGATGCCCGCGGCAGTAATCTGACCGATGAAGTATGCCACGTTGAAGAGCGACGTTAAGATAGGTCGCTCCTTCGGGTAGGACAGCTCTCCAATTAGGGACGAGGCCGAGACGATACACGTGGGAATGCCGAATCCGAGGATCAGTCGGGCCACGATATACATGCCGGCTTGGAAGTATCTATTAGCACGGACGGCCGTTCTGCTGGTTCGGCGGGGGGGCTTCTCTTGGAACGCATACCATTGACAGAGAAGCCTTGGATCAAGGCTCCTATTACCATAATGGTGGAGCCACCGATGATGGAGTACCGACGCCCATATCTGTCGTTGATGATGCCGATGAACGGGAGGGAGAGTATGGCGCCGAGCGAGTACGCAGCGGCGATGATCCCTTTCAGAGCCCCTTGAGGGTCGCCGAAGACTTCACCCATGATGCATCCTTCTCGTTAACTAGGGGCTTCTTGCGTAGGAGCGCCGCCACCCGGGACGGCAACTTACACGATATCCAGGTGGGCACAATCTGCAGGGCATTGATCATTTGCGAGTCGAAACCGGAAGTCAGCTCGATTCCCATACACGTCGGGAAGAGCAGGAAGTAGAGATATCTCAAGTTCGGCTTCTTGTACCATACGATCTTATCCTGGTTGGCGAGACGGGTGATGATGGGGTCGGCCGTGCCGGGCTCAATGGCTCCTGCGCCACCCATTGTTGCTAGAGTCTTATTAAGTAGGGCGCGAAAGCGAGAAGGAGATGGGCGATAAAAGGGAAGGACGGGGATTTCCTCGAGGGAGAAGTGGTTGGACGGGACCGCCCTTTGTAGTCCTCAACCGACTTGTCGCCTCCTTGGTCGGTGTGGATGCCAACCGGCCGGTCTTGGGCTTCGAGGGAGCTGAATCTCCGGGCAATACACATCCCACCTGAGAAAATAATGGTTGGCAGCCGACATCACGGGGTGGGACGTTCTCACCCATTTGCGATCCAGACTCCGGGGTAATGGAGCAGGGGAGGGGTGGTTACAACGTCGTCGCCCCGGGTTTCTCACAGGAATCCGGAGAGCTCTCCCAGTTCGGCCGGCCGCCCAGATGGGGTATATGGGGGCCTGCAGAGCTCCAACAAGCTCTGCTAGTATGACAGATCTCGAATCAAGCTCAGTCTGCTGATGCCAATGCGCCCCCACTCCTTCGGGCTCGAATCTGCCATGCTTCCTCGCTTGCACATCCGTCGGAGTAGCGGCTCAGCGCAGACATCCCGTACGTCTTCTCCAATCGCGAGTTTCCTAGCATGGCCACCCTAGCGCAGCTAACCTAGTCAGCCCAGGTCGCCAAGGCGGAATTGAGGGACAAGTCGCCGACACAAGTATAGGTATGCCGCCTCCTTCTACCTCTTCCTTCTCGCCTTTGACCCCACGTAACGGCCACGGCACCGAGTGGAGGGAAGTTCTTTGCTACCCTCGAAGAAGAGGCGATGTCGATTCCTCCGTCGAGTGGTGAGAGGGAAGCTCGGCCCTGCGCGTGACGGTTCGAGTCCTTCCACCCTCGCCCTCCCCCCACTCCCCCCTCTACTGTAGGTATGTGGACCAGTCCTAGTTGTCAGTACCCACTTGGAATACCCGGAACTAAGTCCAAGGCGGCGTCCAAGACGGCGTAACAAAACGTCGTGCGCCGGGACACCCTGTTGACCGAAGGACGAAAAACAGAAAGGAGTGAGGGTAAGCATCGCCGGGGCCTTGGCTGATAGCCCTAGTGAGAGCAAGGCCGCGAGCGGGTTCTTTCTGCTGGCGTTCCGTGGCTCTTCCAGGCTGGCCGCTTGCGTGATTATAGAGTCGAGCGCCCCGTCGGTTTCCTCTATCAGGCGAAGTCTGCTGGGTGTATCGTCCGATATTAGCTCGACGCGGCATGCATGACATCTATTGGAAGGCCCCGCCTCCCCGCGTTCTGGTTCGATTTAGGCAAAATACGTCGACCCCATGGTGTTGGAACGCGGTGTGTAGTAGACTCATTATTGAATATGGGGAGAGGGAACGCTGGAATACCTTGGTCCTGGTTCTCGGCGACGGCGGTGGGAGACCTGTTGTCACCTCATTATATTGGTACGCTACCCTCGTGGTGGAAGCGAGACATTGATTAAATTAAACATCGTGTCATTGGCCATCGCACTGCGATACTCGCCGTCGGGTCCTGCTCAGGGCCGCGGTCTGATGCAACGCGAGGTCCCTGAGCGGATTTCGGGACCAGAAATGGGACCGCCGAGGATTAGTTACCCTCGTAAGGCAAGACAGGTAAGGCAGGCAGGTATGCTCATATAGCCAGGACCATGTGAACATGAGGGTGTGGACGCGAATGACGGATTTGCCTATGCAAATGCAGAGATTATTATATACCTACGTAGAATGCGCCAATCTACGCCGCTGGGCAATGCGTGAGAATTATCAGATAGGTACACGCTGACCTGAGCTTTGCCTGATAATCTTTGCCCTTCCCCTCTGTTTGAAGACTACCGACGCGCGCACACTCAACTCTCTCCCCTTCTCTCTGCGCGATATTCTTCAACTCCCAGGATTTACAGACTAGTTTACACTTCTACGGAGAATGGTCGAGACTGAGGGTGAATTAATTACCTTGCCTCCCGTATCTATAGGTTTCCTGCTCTTAAGAGACCATCGTGATTGTGACGGAGATGAAGCGGGATATATCCCCTTCGCCGTGTGCTTTGGACAAATCTCCTAGCTTCGTGAGGGATATTAGTCATTAATTGATGTCGTTCATATATATGTGCATGCTGCGACGGCACCGTGGTGGATGATGTACGGGTACTGGTCCCCTGGTCCAGTAAGTGACACTGCTCTCAATCTCGGTCAAGTGTACCGTAGGTGGCCTCTTCCTATTATTTTCCGGGTCGACATTCAGTAGACTCCAGCGCTATGGGGTCATCTACGAATGCCTATCAAGGGAGACTCCCCATTTCATTTCATTTTTTCTTCTCGTTTTTTTCTCTTTTAAACGTCAGTGTTCTACCTCCCTGGCCTCGAAAGGTGCTGAACAGCCGCTATCCACTTCTGCTCGTCGTTGCTGTTCTCACGGTTAGTTTCGCGACATTGCCACGGACGGATGAAGGGCACGGGGTACTGCCTACCGATCGAATCGTAATAGCTTGCCCAACACTGGTACTAACTGCGACCGGACTTTTTCGTCCTTCACCTCGAGGAACTGTAATAGTATGGTCTTCAAATACATCGTATCCGGGCTGGTGGATCCAGAAGTGCTAGCTGCCCCGTTGAGTCCGCTTCGCGTGGAGTCTATGCTAGATCTTCCGCTGCTCGCGACGTTGGGCGAGCTACCGATGCTGAATCTTGCCTGGATGCTCTTCAGCTCCTTGTTCTCCTTCTCGTAGCGTCCCCTGGTCTCGTCCAACAGTTTCCGCAAGTCCGCGCGCTGTTTTTCCGTATCGCGCACCTGCTGCTCTGATGCGTCTAGTGCCGATCGTAGATTGGTGACCGTGACACGCATATCATCGACCTCGGCCGCAGCCTTCTCTTCGATCTGCTCGAGCTCCTCGCGGCGGCGACGCCACTCCTTCTCGCGAGCTTCTAGGTCATCTTTCTGGCTGGAAAGAGTTCGCACTTCTCGTTCAAGCTCGCGAACCTTGCTTTTAAGTTCTTCAGACTCCCGGACGCGCCGTCGACCGAGGGTAGATGATTCATCTTCGATCCGATCGCGCTCTTCGACGGCCGCCTCCATCCTAGCACGCATTTCGCGGACCTTCGCATCTGCCCGCTCGTCAACATCGGCCAACATACGGCGCATCTTCTCGCCTTCGCGCGTTCGCTCGGAAAGATGCTTCTGCACCTCCGCCAACTCCTCCTCTAAACTTTCTGCTCGGTCTTGTGCTTCCTTGAGGCGAACAGACAACTCGGCCGTTTGATCGCGCATGGAACTTAGCAGACCTTGGGCGCTATTGTACTGCTGCGCCTTAAGCTCGGCCTCCTCCCTGATGGATTCATTTTCTTTCTTCAACTTTGCGACTTCATCCTCGAGCTGCTTAATCTTTGGCCGAAGTGTGAAAAGTTCTGACTGTACGGATTCAAGCTCACGGCCAGTTTTTTCGACCCTCGCAGATAGTTCGATCTTCTCGACCTCGGCGCGGCGATAATCTCTACCGGCGACGCGTTTCTCATCCTCCAGTCTAGCCCGGGACGCCTTCTCGGCGGCTAGCCTGTCATTGAGTAGCCTGATCTCGGATTCACGGTCGGACGCCAATCGCTGGGCCTTGGAGACTTCAACCTTCAGCTCTTTCTCGCGCTTCTCGAGAGCACGGAGCTCGGTCTGCTTGGAAGCTAACTCCTCCTTGGTAGTTTTCAACACTGACGAATCCTGTCGCAGGCTTTTGAGTTCTGGTTGGACCTTGGTGAGAATCTCACGTAAATCAGTCAGGTCTTTGTAGCGGCTCTGTGCGAGTTGATGAGCGGCGCCAAGGTCAGACTGCAAAGTGTGCGATTTTATCTTTAGGTCGTCGAACTCGGCTTTCATAGAATCGAAATCCGTCCGCAGCGTCGAGGTAGCTTCCGTACTCGACGTAAAGGCAGCGATCTGTTTCTCGAGCTCTGCGATCCGCGCCAGCAATGCCGCCTTTTCAGATTCTAGACTCTTCACCTTCTCCTTAGCTTCGACGTGATCCTGTCCGATGTTGACAAGATCCTCCTGTATAGTTTCTATCTCTTCTCGCAGGTCCTCTTCGGTCTTCTTCTGTTTGGACAACCTTTCGATTCGAGTATCTCTATCGGCGATTTCATCGTTCAGTCTTGCTACTTCGGCTTTGAGAGCCTCCATATCTGGACTATCGAGGGGGGATGGCTGGGCGCTCTCCGAAGCTTCGCTTGCTGTGACCGACATTGCACCGGAGGATGCTCCACCCTTCTTTTTCTTCTTGTTATTCTTTTTTCTAGGTCCACCAGCTCCAGGAGTCGCTACAGGGATCTCCAGCGCCCCCGCCGTGGATGCAGATGCAGGTTGGCCGGCGGATTGGATCTGTGTGGACAATTGTTCGACCTTCTTTTCACTCTCGGATTTTGACATCTTCAACGACTTAATTTCGCTCTCCAACTCGCGGATTTTGGTCTCAAGCTGGGATTTCACCTCGATAAGCTTCTTCAGCTCGGCATCAAGTTGCGTGTTCTTCGAATTCGAGGCCTCGAGTTTGGACTCCCGTTCCCTTGTCGCGGATGCCGTTTTCAACTTCTCATCCTCGAGGTTGGCCTCTAGGTCCCGGAGCTGCGATTGGGTCTGTTCGAACTTCTCCGTAAGTAATTTGATCTGCGAATTCCGGGCGTCCAATTGAGTCTGTATCAAATCCTGAATAGCAACTTTATCGCGAATTTCGCCCAGCTCTCGGGTAGCCTTCTCAAGGCTTTCCACAAGACCGCCACTGTTCTCCCCGGCAACTGCCAGTTCCTCCTTCAGTAGGCTAACTTCGGATTTAAGCTTGACAATCTCTTCAGATTTGGACGCGATTTCGGCTTGAAGTTGGGGGATCTCGTCATCATAAGAAAACATCTCTTCACTCCTGTCCTTAGTCTCTTCATCGGGCACTGGTTTCTGTTTCGGGGAGAAGACGCCGAAGATGGACGAGACTGGCGATTTGCTCGCAGATGGCAAGGTAGCCTGTTTTGATTCTTCTCCTTTCGTTTCCCCCAACACACTTTCTTCCTTATCCTCATTCTCAGCTAGCGAGGCTTCAGCCTGGGAAGCTTCGAGAGAAGCCATTTTCTCCTTGAGGGCGGATAACTCTTTGTTGGCGTCCTCTGACTTCTTCTTGAAGCTGTCCTTTTCGGCGGAGACACGCTTGAGCTCCCCCATGACCATGTCTCCTTTCAAATTCAACTGGTTTAGGTATTCGACTAAGGCAATTGGGTCCTTGATTGTGGTTAACGGGGTGTTCTCGCGCAAGGCTCGCTCGAAGGGCTCGATCAGGGTAGCGCGTCCGTGTGCGATTCGATAGGATCGTAGTAGTTCTGTGGGGTTCGGAAAACAAGATGTCAGCCATCAGCGCAGAAACGGGTACGGAATTCTAGGCGTCGCTAACCTGGATACGTAGACTCCAACTTCTCCAGCTTTCGGAGTCTAGCCCTAATATGAGGCGGGAGTTCCGCCGGTGCTGCGGAGGGGACATCTCTAAGCTTCTCGTCTGCTTGCGTGCCGGTCTGACCGGTCGCATTACTATTCTCAGTAGCGCTGTTGCTCATTTCGCTATCCACCACCCCCTCCTTCATCTCGGTCTCATGAGGTGCCACCTGAGCGGTGGCAGCGGAATCTGCATCTTCGTCGTCAAGCACAAACGCGGCCTCGAAAATGGCTGGATCGGGATTTGCGGCCATGTCACCATTCGAGACATCCTGGCCGGGTTTTCTTGCTTTGCGCCTGGTAGTCGAGACAGATCGCGCGCGTTGGCTTCCAGCAGGAGGCGAGGGGTTAGCATGGGATCTCTGCTCGGCAAGGGCTTTCTGGCGAGCCTGCTCTTCGGCAATACTCCGATCGATGGCACTTTTGATTTTCTGCGTATATTGTATGATGAGACAACGATTTCTCTTCTGGGGGGAGGTGCTGGGCCAACAGACGTACGGAGAACATGGTGGCTAGGTGACCCTTCCTCTCACGTCGCCAACGAGAAATGCGATGCGTGGAGGCGCAGGACTTTAGCCATCAACGTATCAGAGGGCCTACTAGGGAGGCGGAGGAGGCTGGAGACGGGCCACAAAGAACGTGCGGTATCAATGAGTTTATTGCCTACTGAAGAGAGCAGGAGACAGGAGGACAGGTTGCGGTTTAATCAACGACACGGTGTTTTTGTCTGTGTCCGCGGCTGCGGCTCAGCATTTGTTAGGCCATCCCAGGACTCTCTGACTACCTAGGAAGTCTCTCGGTCTGTCGGTCCCCGCGCTGGATGTACTGTGTTGTAGGTATGTACCTAATGGTCAGGCTTTAGGGCGCTGGCAGCCTAGCGCAGAGCCGTGCTGTGGTACCTTAGGCTGAGGCGCATGCAGGTAGGTACGTTAGGTACCTCACAAGGGCATTGTGCTACCCCCTAATGGTACAAGGCAGGGCTGCCTTGGGTGCCTCGGGCACCTAACCTCTAAACTTCAGGCACATCTTGTCCACGCGCCATGTACCTTAGGTACCTCTAAACCCTATAAGTTGACGCACTGGAGAGGTGGTACCGCCCATGTAACTTTCAAGTCGATTGACGGTTATGCGTCCTCGCTACACGCTAGAGGTACCTAGGTAAAGGGTACTTATGTAAGCAAGCCATATTTGTGTTTATTTAATCCACACAGCACTAGCTACGTAGCTCAAGGTATGTAGGCTGAGTGGACGGCTGCCATCATCGCCAATGAATTGATTTTCTTGCTACGCGCCTAGTCCAACTGAATGTCGTCACATGGGGCTCTACCAGAAAACATCACATTTTAAGGCACCTAATCGGTGCCGTAATACAGAATTTTCTCTTTAAATCTCCTACTCCTCAACATCTCCTGGGAGGAAACCTCGAGGCTTCTGAGAAGCTTCGTTTCCTATCATCGCGATTCTCTTCGGCACCGCTCCTCCTTCACCATCTGTCTTCGATCTTCTCCTAATCCGCCGGCACATTAGTTGGCAATTCCCCCTCTCTTCGTGCCCCTCCTTTTGCTCATTCCTCGTCTTCGTCTTCCTCTCTTCTTTGTCACGCCATGGTCTCACAACGGTAGGCCATACTAATATCAGTATCATGGTGTCCTTTTGGCCTTGGAAGGTGGGTTAGGAAAGGGGCATCGCATTTTGTACCTTGCTAAGAATCTGCTCCGGCAACCAGGGCAACGACTCTTCCCCATCTTCGTTTGAGAAGACACTATCGACGCTTTCCAACAAGATAACCACTACCCAAACCCAGCTCGATCGGGTGCGAACAAATTCCCGCAGAATCAAGGTTCTCTGGACTCTTTACCTCGCCTTCGCCTACCTGGTCTACGCCATCGTCCTGACCCTAGTGGTGGGCTGGCAGAACTTGGGAGCATGGGAATGGACCGGCATGGCTGGAGGCCCTATTTTGTATGCCTTGACCCTAGCTTCGCTGGATTGCAGGGGCTGCGCTGATATTTTTCACCGTAGAATCTATCTTGTTAGGACTTTCACAAACGCTTATTTCAGCTTCCGCATCGAGAGTCTTGAAGCTTATCTGAAGGACTATCAAACCGAACGCACGAAGACTATTCAGAAGCTAAAGGACGCGACCAAGTACGACTCGACTCTCGAACTGCTAGAGAAGTATGGTGGTTCCGGAGAGAAACGAGCCCGGGCTAAACAGGCGGGAGAAGGCGACGGTGGCGACGGGCAGTTGGCGAAGGGAGCTGGCAAGAAAAAGCACCAGAACACAGGCCCCGAGGCCACCGGTGCCAGAACAAATATCCCGCCTCCGCCGACGGCCAACATTGCGAGGCCTCCTCATGTACCATCCCCCAGAACTCCTCAGGCCTCCCATAAGCCACACACTCTGCAGCCCCCACAACATGCTACCCCGCCAGAACTACCCTCAGAGGAATTCGCGCCGAATGCTGGGCCCCTGCCGCCGGTCTACTCACAATACGATGTAAACCCAGGTCCGCCACATTGGTATGATCGCATCCTGGACCTAATGCTTGGAGAGGATGAGATGGCGACTAAAAACCGTATCGTGCTCATCTGCCAAAAATGCCGCCTCGTCAACGGACAGGCGCCCCCCGGAACTAAGACACTAGCAGACCTAGGGACGTGGAAATGCATGTCGTGCGGGTCTCTCAACGGAGAAATGGACGAGGGCAGAAAAATAATTCACCAAGTATTAGGGTCAAAGAAACCCCCAAGCGACAGCCGCGGAGCAGAAGACAGAGATAGCGATCTCTCGAGCGACCTAGTCAAGATCGAGGAGAGCGAGAGCGATGGTACGGGAGATAGTGGAGGGGAGGGGGCAGGGCATGCGGCGGAGCAGTCGAGAATGAGGCTTCGGGGCAAGAAGTCCGAGATGGTGCCTTAATGACAAAGTCCATATCCAAGGAGGGTAAGGATTAACGATGTCAATTACCCAACGAGCCCTTTGCAGGCCTTCACTTATCAGCATTCTATAGCTATGTTAATATCCAATCATAAGCTGGTATTTGACGACATATGCAGAGATTTACCTCTTTACTCCCTCCCTCAGTCAGTTACCCCCCGCCCCCTTCCAACAACATCATTCAGCAATACCTCCTCCCCAAACACCTTAACATTAGCAAGGTTGTAAGAACGGGCGGGGTGTGAGTATAGCATCACCGGGCTATCCTTGTATTCAAGATATGCTAACGATTACCTTCTGCAGATCTTTTTGTAGAGTATCTACATCGCTAGAAACGGTCTGATGACCCTGCCGTATATTCCAAAGACCCAGTAACATGAATCACATACCCAGACGGCCTTGACAGGATCTACCACAATAGAGCAGTGAGGGCACATCAATTCTTCCTTTAGCCGGGCTCCCACTACGTATATGTCTACTCTAGGAGACAGCTATGCCGTTGAGAGGTTACGTACCCCAGTATATAGTGATAAATCGAGGTAGAAGATGAGCCAAATTACGAAGACTACCAAGTAGCGCTGTTAGGAATCGAACCTATCCTCCTTTAAGTAACTTATTGATCCGGAAGCTCCGGAAGGGCTCTTAGTCCACGGTTTGGCTAGCCTTTGGCATAATGCAGGTCCATATTTAGCATCTCCTGCCTACGAAGCCGCAAACCATGGTGCTTGTTTCCCTAAAGGAACAGTGGTTATGTCGCCCTAGAGATTCTAGGCTCGGGAATCTCGACATTAACAAAGGAGCAACGAATCTTACGCTACAACCCTTAAGCCACACTAGCAGAGACAGCCTAGCACAGAGGCCTCTAGGCGAGTTCTAACACCGCGGTCCTAATTTCGTCCATAGGTACCTTGTATTCGTGAATACTGTGGTCGATGGGAGGTAAGCAGGATAAATGGGCTCCTCGTTATCTCCGCGTCGCATAACCTCAAGGCTAAATCATCTGACATGGACGGCTATTAGTACCTCCCGATGCGAGTATTATCTATTTGAGTTTTCTGCTTAGAGTGAATTTGTGTGCTTACGCCTAATACCTACTTAACGTGGCATATTTCTTTACAGATCCGCCGACGAAGCCCGTTACCTCAGATAGCCTTCGAGCTCCCGAGTCAGTCCTCACCGGAGCTGTCAATAAAATACTCGATATCTAGAAGCCCCCATGGGTAAGGTCGGGATTGACGAGAATTCCAACGCCTTGTACATTGCTGGAATTGGATTCTACGAGCGTAATATAGGCGAGTTTCAACGGTAACCATACATCGAACCTCTTTAATAATCATTGAGGGGCTTAAAGATATTCTTCTTTACAAGTAGTCTCACCTCATAAGAGCGGGTTGAAGGCGGAACCTATCAAGTCAGCTTTAATATAATGTCACGTAGAGGTAGCTCCTTAGGTTGCTCCTCTTCGTTGCTTACCTCAGCAACAGGAGCTCCTATATATACGCTCCCGTTACTTCCATTCCTTTAGCTCGTTCTTAGAGAGATCTAAGACCTTTTCTCTTCGCTCCTCCTCCCGTTGTTTGTGAGATAGCTCCTCGCGCGTGCTCTCGCACACGTAGCTATCCAGCTACGTGACATATAAGTATATTAAGAACTTAATTCAAGCAACTGCTAATTTAAATCAGCAATCAATTGTCTACCTGTAGCTCTGACAAATAATTGTTAATATCATGTGCATTTGACAGTGTTTCATCAAGGTCAATTCATATCTCCCGAGCTTAGTTACACAACTTCTTAAATAGCTTTTTTTAAAAAAAAAACTCTAGACCTAACTGCTAATACTATCGGATACTCCGGAGTTTCCAGCACTTTTATTCTTAAGCCGAAAGGTTATAAAGTTCTTTAACCTACTCCTCATCGCCTAATTGTCCCCCTGTTTCTCCAGCCTTGGTTGTAGCTCTATTGAGCCTGCATAGTATTGGAAATACAACAGACCGAGCCGCTTTATCCCTACCCCTATGCATATTAAGCTGGCAGATACTGGGAGTTGCTGTTACGTAGCCGATATAAGTAGCTACATATTATTCCCGAAGTCGGAGAATGTATGTGCTTAGGTTTACGCCACTTTTATAAGAAAGCGATAAGCACGCGGAAACGGAAAAAGAAACATACAAGTTTCTGTCGGAACTAATATTTCCTAGTTCATTATATGCAGGTTAAATATTTGAGCCTGACTCCCCAAGATTTCTCGTAACAATACGTCATGCCGCTGCTTATTTGCAAAACATTCCCTCGCCCTTCTTATTCGAAGAATGCCGAGCATCAGACCTTGCTAACGATAAATGCGACGGCATCAGGAGCAAGTTCACTGTAGGTGTAGTGGGCATCAGTGACGAGCAGCGTGCCCTGGCAGAGGAGGTCGCCGCTGCGGCATATGATTAGGGTTCGCGAAGGATCAAAGTTGGGAATGCGCCCGCCGTCCTGGGCGCGCTGAGTGTCGCCGAACGTGACCGCCGCGGCGATGCGGGCCCGCACCGAGGCGGAAGCCGACTCGACCGCCCGGTGCACGAGCGCTGCCCCCTGGCTGTATCCCGACACGACGAGGCGCGCCGAAGGACACGCCGTCGCGATATTTCCGATTAGTGTCCTCATAGAGGCCGCGTCCTCCGGGTCGCACCCCCCTGACCGTAGGTTGTCGATCAGGAGCGCTGGGTACTCGACCCCCTGGGCAGCCACCCGATTCGCGCCTAGCGCCGCCTTCAGCAGGTCTATCGTCTGCGGCCCGGGGTCACCACCCTATTTCCGAAGGCAGAGAGCGCCGGGTGGTTAACGTGATTGCACTCATCTACTCCGGGGTTGGGGGGGTTTAAAGGGGGGCCTGAGGGGAGGGGGGGAGGGGGGTTAATGGGCAGTGGGGTGTATTAAGGAGAGAAACTAACGACATTCCCCTCTTGGGTGCTGCCGCGCGCGAAGATAAATATTACGTCCCGACAGCCGCTCTCGAGAAACTCGTTCGCTGTGGTGCCAGCAGCCTGGGCCTCTGCTTGACTGGCGATCTGGAGCTTCTTCAGTGACGCGATGGTGCTGTCAGGGTAGTCTAACACCAATGGGCTGGCGGCCGTGGAGGCTACCAGTGTGGCGAGGAGAAGTAATGGAGAGTGAGAAAACTTCATCTTGATATCGTGTACAGTTGACGGTTTAAGGGGTTAGGGGTAAACTCTCTGAGGCCCAACAACAATGGGTTTTTTCCTAGGAAAGAGTTTGTCCTCGAACTTTCTTGGAACCTAATCAAGACTATCATGACGGGGTGGTGTGTGTGCCTCGACATTTTATAACGACGTTGTATAGATTGTATAGTAATATTACGGGGGTCATCGGAATGCCGAGTACTCTTAAAATTCGTACTCCTCGCGTCTCTGATGAGCTAAATTCGATGACCTTCCTTTCAGGACATGTCTTCCCGGTGGCGCACCGCCTAGAGAGTCGTCGGACGCCTACCGAACAGACTCGTGCACAGCGGAGAAGGGAGACTTATGAGGGAGCAAGGAACATCGAGTCGGGTATTCTGAACACAGAAGGTCACAGCATGGGCTCACTGAGCAGAGAGACCTTAGGGAGCGGCAGCTGACGTCGGCTGAGGAGCCGACATATCCGAAGATGGCAGAGATCGCCTCGGATATTGGAAACCGGGCGTTGGTACACTTTGTGCGTCCATGTATAAAAGACGAGAGAGAGACTCGGTGCACTGCGTATGTGCGTACATACTCAGATCTATCTCCGCATGATGCGCCATGCATTCTCACCCAATTGTGGCTCCTATTAGCGCCCAACCAATTATTTGGCGGTGTCCGGGCGTATGGACCTGACCATCTGGGGATAGTATCCCGGTCGATGTTATGACATGCCAGTTTTAGAGACATTATAAAAGCCACCCCGCGCGTAGCGTGCCTCGTTAGAGGCGTCGACTTGACACTCCGCCTCCCTCGGTAGTAGTTTCGAGTAATTGCCCCGTCAACGGCGGGGAATATTTGACTACCGATGATACCTTTTTTCGCTTGGGCCTTGTGCTTTTCACCTTCTCTGATTGGTGTTCGTGCGGCGATGTTATAGTAAGAGGGATAGATGCCGTTAAGGGTTTAGATCGAGTGCGGAGGAGAGGGGTGGTTTGCGGAGAGACTAAGAGCAGACCGTGGGGATTGGGGTAATAGATAATAATATACTATGGCCATCTGTCCGATTATTTCTGTGTTCATTGGGGGGTTCCTCTTTCGGACCGACTAGGGATGCTAAATATTACCACCTCAGAGATTTAGCGCTCACCAGATGATCTCGAGGGAACACAATACAATTGCATTTTCAGCTCTGGAACGGCCTACGAAACTTGGGGGCTCTTAGCCTCGGGACAATCAATAACTAACACGGGTCAGATAATAGTGGTTGTGACGGCAAGCAGGTGGTAAGAAGTCTCTAGGGTGCGAGACGGAGATGCTTGCATGTGATGCGCAATGACTGGATGCGTCGAGTTCCAATACCGCAGAGACTGCAGCAAAATAGCCTCAAACTCCGTAGTGGGGAATAAGCTTGAATACGAAAAGAAATCTGGTAACGCCGAACACCCTCCGACTCGTCATCATGTCGGGACGTCACACTATACGTCTGCAAAGAGGTATCGGCTGCAGAGTGCATTCCTAATGCCCATGCGAATACATCGAGAAACCACAAAGCTGCATCCTTACCGTACAGGTTATCACGAAGTGCCACGCTGTCGCAAGACGACTCGCATTTTAATAATAGAAAAAAGAAATCCCCCACCCCCCCCCCCCCCCCCCCCCAACTTTCGAAACTCATCATCATGATTGGCTAGCTAGGGTGCGTTTGCGCTGATTGTATAAACGAGGTCCTCCCGGCTTAGGGCGAGAGACACGTTGCCGAGTCGCAGTAGAAGAATAGAATGTGGTGTGTTGAAGAGGTCGCTCGCCGAGTGTTGTGGGGATAAAACAACAAGTGGGAATAGAATGTTTCACCTGGGGTGGGTAATCAATCGTACCTACATTATGCACATCGATCTCTCGAAGCTGCTGTGAATTCTATGGGATTGCCAGAGAGGCGAGTTCCGAAGGGACAATTGATAGAAATCAGTATGCAGGATGTTGCATGACAGACAGGTTGCGCGATGAAAAGGTCTGGGGTTATTGCAGGTTACAGCTCGGGTAACATCTTCTCGTTACCGTTTCGCTTTTCCCAAAAGGCTGAAATGCGAATTTCCAGTGCGTAGTGCAATGCGTACAGCTACCTAAGGCACCGAACATAGGTGCTGACACGCAAAATGCTACCAGGTAACACAACGTCAGAGGGGTGAATTGTTACATATACCAGCCACAAGACCTGTACCGGGTTACTATAGGCCAAGCGCTGACGTAAGGGCGCCTCACTCTGTTATTGATCCTTTCCCCGCTAAAGCATCACCACACTATGAGATGACGACCGCCTCCTATTATCCCATCTCGCAGTGACAGCTCGGATCCGGCACGCTCCGCCAGGATTGGATCAGCTATAACCATCGAACAATTTCTATCCCTAATGCAGCAAGCTGCGGAGGCTATTTAACATTGCACCGCCCATCTGACCTGACCCACGACGATGCACTTGCCAGAGGAGGAGTCACGCTGGCCAGTATCCAGATTGTTGACAGTGATCATCACCACGTCCCCGACGCCATCGGCACCGTCCGTAGAGCTCGTGTCGGCCATCCTATCGTCGTTTCGTATTCATTGCGAAGACTTGTTATCTTGCCGATTTATCGTTGTGTTTGATACGTACGATCATGTTGCACCCAAGGCGAGGCTGAAGAAGGGCTGTGTCAATCCAGACGGTGCCAAGAGCTTCAACCTCTACAAGAAGAATGTTAAGGAGCTGGTTTTGAAGGAGATCTGCCCGCTTCATGATATAACGGACCTATGTCTTGGTGGAGGTAAGGCCGAATTCGGGTACAGTGGCGTCGAGAGCAATTTCGTTCCCTTCTCCACCACCCAAACCGCAGATGGGCGAGTCACGTTCATAGAGCCTTCGAAGCGCCTGGGGTTCGGCCTGGCCGTACGCTCAGCTCTAAGAATGACCGAGACATGCTTTGTCTGGGTACAACAGCACGACTGGCCTCTGGTCTCGGACATCCCCCTCGAGCCCTTGGTGGATATAATGCAGGTTTCGGGGTCCGATGAGAGTACGCCTGTGAAGTACGTTTGTATCCCGTCTGTGCGCATGTTATCCTACGCCGATTCAGCCCACGTTTCCGAGTTCCCGGTGCTGAGAGAATTGACTGCGTCTCTCAAGCGCAGTTTTGTAACCGGCTCGGGGGTTAGTATCCCTTTGACACCACTCTTCTTCTGGCACGACAAACCCCATATAGCGTCTACCGAACACTACTTGTCTCGGGTTTTCCCGACGCGTATTTCCATACCACGCGGCGCTTTCATTGAAGACACGATTGGTCAGCGGGCAAGAAACCAGATGAAGGAGGGTGCGTGGGCAAAGTGGGCCAGCTGGCTCTATTACCCTGACGAAGGACGGAGGTTGTGCCTACGTCACCTCTGCGGGCGGACCTGGGAGGGGGCGGGACGAGAGTCTGAGAAGAAGGCAGCCTGGATGGCACGAAACGCAGAGCGGAGTATCACCCAAGTAGATCGATCTAGCTCATCGAATCCAAGATAGACAATAACGGGATCGTTCTAGGCGTCATTTCCATCGATTAGGTTACCCTACCTATCGTAGTAATATCAACTATCCGCTGAGGAACCAAGTCGTCGGCGAGTAGACTCTTTTCCAGTACTTGAGCGTGCATGTCGGAGTTAGTAAACCGCACCAAATATAAAACCCTAAAGGCTGCGGCTAGATGACATCTCAAGGTCACTGACGGAAGTTGCAGCAGTCAACTGTAATATTCATGCAGATACCGTACTTCATATCCTTATCCATTTTCTCGAACCACCTTTTGCAACGTCACTCCGTACACTTGCTTGAACGTGCTCGATCGACGTTCGCAATGGATCAACTTGACTTAAAACATATGCGTCTTGGTAGTATGTCTCCTTGGTTCTCTTAACTTTCGAGATGCCTTTCGGGCCTAAGTCTGTGTCGCTACCTGTCCTGCTGTGTGTCGTGCTGTGCGTCAATCGGTCCTGGTCGTCGTCCATGTATCGCGTCTCGCGTGTGATGTTGACCTCTTGGGTCACAAATATCTTGCCCCACTGCAGGCCTCTGAGAACCGGCCAGAAGACCGGGACGCTCGCACAAATACTGGCGGCATCCACTTCGAGCACAGCCAAGATGATGCTAAGAGGGCCATACCATGTCGGATCCCGAGTCGGCCATGTCGCTCCCTGGTTCCCGATGATCGTCGCCAACCGCCAGGCCGCAAACCCGATAACCCTACCAGAGAATCGTAAGCATACCCTTCTTAAATAATACACGTAGAGACGCCGGAGAGGATCAGACCTACAGGGTGCCCATAGAAAGAAGCCCAACAAGTCGCAAACGAGCAGGCCCGGTCGTACCATCTTTGAAGAACAGGGGAATCGGCATCAAGAGTATGAGCACATCAAGCGTTATATTGATGGCGGCGTGACTCTCGAATGTGGCGATGAATGGACCAGCCTCGTAGGAACCGTAAGCGTAGCAGTAGTGCCCTTCTCCCCCGCTCCAGAACTTCTCGACGGGCACGCACGGCACCCAGGCCAGGAACGAATACGAAAACCCCCATAGGGCCGTGAAAACGATTAGTGGCACGATCAGGCGCTGGGTGAATGGCCCCCGATCGAACATGCGAAGATACTGCAGCAACAGCGCCTCTTTGATCAATGTCGTCGAGGTCACGTATGCTGCGTTGCCGATATAGAAAGTGAGAAGAAAGCCCTTAGCCTGCCAAGGTTCTAGAAGTAAGAAGTGCTTCCCGAGTCCGTATTTCACCGAAAGACATATCGCTATCGATCCGGCCGTAATAGTAACCTTCTCAAGCCGATTCGGTTAACCGAGGGTCCATCGTTGGCCGGGGTGCGCACACGCGCGGGGACTACTCACCAGATAGAGCCCTACACAGAAATCATCCCAGCCGGCTGCGTGAATGCTCGACCGGATATAGATCCGAAAGACAACACATATCCACGACACAACCTGCGACCGCAACTACGGTAAGAATTGATGATCTGCAAACACCAATCACACCGTGGAAGTTGAGGGTGATAGCGTACCAAACCAGCTATAACGATCCCCCAGATCGTCGCGGGCCTATTAGAAAAGGGTTCCGGGTCGTCGAAATTGTCGGAGGAGAAGCGGAACTCGGACATCGTCTATCCTACGCCGAGGACGAACAAGGAAGGCGAAAGGCCGTGGAGTCGTGTCAGATAGGCCCTTGCATGGGATGATCTCAGGCGGCTCTAACGGAAGGATGGCATTTGATCAAGAACGAGTGGGGGTCTTAAGGCATCGGCGGGTGATGCGGCTGAGCATATTACCACATTATAGGAGCGCTGGTAGAAAAGGATGAAAGGAAGAAAGGACGTCAAATTTCCCCGCCGGGCCAGCAAAGGAAGCCTAGTGAGAGATTAAATAATTCTGAGGAGAAAAGTACATACATAGATGCCAGGTTATATTTGGATTATTTGACATCTATGTAAATGACGGGAGTCAAGATATGCAGGCGATCCACCATCAGACCATGAATCCTTCGATGATTGCCAGCTTTGAGGAGGCTTAAGTCTCTGTGTGTGTGTCTACCCCTATGCCGAGCACTAGAGAAACTTGGAAACTGGGATTGTCACTGCGCTGCCGATCAACTGAGATGTTATAAAGAAGAAGGGAACAAAAAGGGAATTTGCCGCGTAGGTATCAAGGTCTCGGTCGCTATTCTGCGCATATGCATGCATACCTACATACTACGTAGTATGCTGGGCGACAATTGACAATAGTAGGGTGCTGTCACGCTTTGTCGTGAAACATCAACCCCGTTCGAGTAGTGCAGTCGACCATAACAGGCGATGGTGAGCCATACACAGACGCCTTAGCGTCACATTGACCCGCGTTCTCGAACACCTACATGTACGTTGTCGGTTTTTAAAGGGGTTAAGGCAGGGCACAAGGCCATGAGGATCGGCGTTCAAGATGCTGTCTTTGATCAAATTCTCTCGGGCAGCCGAAGCCGACCCAGAGGCTTCGCCACTCCTGAGTATGTATGTATACTATGTACATACGGGTATGCATAGCTCAGATTCAGTTTTATATTATAGAGCAGAACACCGGTGAAGAAGTCCACCGTCGTCGCGTTTACCGATGTGCTCTCCCTTTCTCCTTTATTAAGGGGGGCTGCCTTACATATACCTATATAGGCTAGGTACTACCTCGAGTGCCGACGGGTATGCAGCATCGTGGCATCGTGCGACGGGTATGCCGATTCGACGTGATAACGCGAAGTATTGGCACATATACAGATATTTATAAAATTTTAAAAAATAAAAAATAAAAACCTGTCAGGACAAAGACATGCGGATTTGCCATGACCGCTGCATACAACGATAAGACAGGATCCGCGACGAGGGCGACTGGCTCGCTAACCAAGCCAAGACGACCAATATGCATGCAGGAACCGGAACGCCTTGCGCGGTATTACGACCTGTTTATGTATACATACAACTCCCTGTTCCCCCATGGGGGGGTGGTTGTTTATGTAGCGCTATCTCCCGTCTCCCGCCTCCCGTTGTCCGTCTCGGATTCGAGTAAGGCCTGAAAGCGCCTAGACCTGCTAGGGCCAGTGCGCCATATCGCTGACGCCGAGATTTTGGGGATTGCGAAACCCCCCTCCCCCTTGGGGTACCCTTGCCGGGGGGGTATTCCCTTTGGTGTTTATATACCTACGTAGAGGCACCGTCTCGTCAAAATAACCAACCATGGATCATAATCATAGAGCGAGGGGGATGACAGGGGAAAGCAGGCTGTCCGAGTCCTTGGCTAAATCCAACACAGGTGACATATCGGCCGAGAGGTCTACTACGCAGAACTACGCACCCTGCTCGCAGACGAAAACGAAACAGCGTGATTGCCGATCGTCGGCACAGGGGCTCTGGCCGGTATTTGATTTGTGTGCAAAACATAGGTATACATAGGTACGTGCACCCATGCATACGCATACACGGGAAATCAAATTCCACCCCAGAAATCCCGGCAAGTTGAAGAAGATCTCAACTACCGCGTCCTAAACGCTCGGGGTCGTATCCATTCTCTAGAAAACCCGGCGGTGGTGTGATGTCAAGGGAGTGGGGCGAGCAGAAAGTAGCATTCCAAGAAGCAGCAGTACCAGGTAAGTAGGTTATAGACAAGTCACACAACTGTCTACCAACATTATCATGTACCTATAGAAATTCGGTATCGCAGTTAGCCAACATGTAGGTAGGTATATATAAAACCGCCCCCCTATGTTGCGGGCACCACCCACGTGCGCCGAGACCCCGGCTTGCTTACTAGTCTAACACGTATCGCGCGTGTATTCGTCCGGCGCACACGAGGCTGCAGCGATGATAGCTGGATATCCTCACCGAGAACGAGTTGCTCCCGAGTAAGCCCCAACACAGACCACACGTTCCAGCCCACCCATGCCACGCCATGCCATACCGTCAGGTACAATACCTTAACATGCACGAAATACCTACCCGGGGTGTGGGAAAAGAATTCGCGCCAGATACACATAGTCCGAGGCGCGAACGAAACTGACACGCAGATCACATGTACACTGCACCTGGGTGAGTGGGTAGGCTCGTAACCTACACCACATGCAAGGAACAGTGAAAAGTCTTCGGCGACAAGTGAGACAAGAATGGTACGTGACATAGAATAACTAGGTATAACGAAACGGCACAGGTTCGGTGTTGCCGGCCGGATAGACCTGGTAACGTGTTGGATGTGGGATAAGCACAGCAGGTTGCCCGGAGGTCCAATACCTGTATTGAGGGATAAGAGGTACCTACCTACACCTGTCAAAATCTGCTTAGGGGGTACCTTAAGTACCTACACTGCAAGGGTCAGGCTATAGGCGCCTAACCTACCTCCAAGTGGAAGAAAAAAGCACTAGCGATATGACGCGTCGGCTACTATTAGGCACTTAAGGTACATAAGGTCACGGAGGAACCTCTGCCTCCACGATCGATACACCATGCAAGTATTTAAAAGTATTTTTCGACGCCTTCTACCATCGGTGAACATGAACATTTCACCACGTATCAACACGACCCGAGAGCTATATCGAATTTCCGTAAAATTAAATATTGGCGAGAACTCCTTAGGTATGTTGCATTCAACCGAAGCAGCTTTAGAAGATATCTTAGGTAGGTTAAAGGGGCTCCTCTCAGTGGCCTGCGTACCTACAGGTCTCCAAGTACCTATCGCGGCCCCAAGACTGTGGTTTTCGGAGGTAGAGTACTGCGCAATTTAGCTTAGGGGGCGAGACCAGTCTTTGAAAATAAAGAATTGCAAGATAGACACGGCCAGGCTCGGCACAGCTCACGGTACCTATGTGCCAGACGTGGATAATATCATGAAGGGCGTAGAGGTCATAGAACATGGAATGAACCTGTTCAGGAACGTAGACACTGCGGCCGAGGGTTGGAATTCAATAGGTTTATCGGTAGGTAAGGCTTAACTGAACCCACGTTTCGCCACGAATTGATTCGTCCCTATCCCCTCAATGCCACGCTTCAAGATGCTGCGGACGCGTCCGATGCTTTCTCTACTCTTCATGTTGCGCCCCGGGTTTCTCATCCATAGCAAGCCGGCGCACACACGTGTACCCTCTGAATTTTCGTGCCGGGAGTCTCTCTTCGAACTGTTGTGATAGCTGAGTTAGCTGCTGTTTTCCACAATAAAATTCGGCACGCCGTTGACTACTCACCATCTCGTCGATCTCTTCGAGCGTGCGGCCTGCGAGAGGATATAAATATCAGTATATCTTGTTTCACAAAGGAATCGACCCCCCCTATCTTCAGCCCTTTTCTTCACTTGGTTTGACCCACCTTGTACTTCGGGGAGGAAGAAATAAACCCATAACGCGGCAACGATGGAGCTGGGGAACCAGATGTAACCGTATCTCGGTCCCCAATTCAGCGAGTTCGGATTGATGAAATCTGCAGCATTTGGATTAGCGACTGGAAGTGTTATATAGATATTCTGAGGTTTCGGAAGGGGTTTGTCTTCCGAAGCGACAATATTATTGGCTGCACACGGTGATGGCTTGTTCAACTTACAAGGTGCCGTGAAGGTCGTGAGCCACGCGGCGAAGAATGCCACCGCAGCCGCCAGCCCGAACGTATAGCTACGCAATCGCTGAGACGGCAGTTCGCCCCCGCTAAGCCAGGCGTAAGTTGCAACCATGCCCTAGAAGTAAGATAGATGGTCAGCGAGTGCTATAGGATCGCCAGCCACACACGATGTGACCACCCCCTTACGTTGTAACTCATCATGTAAAGACACGATAGCGCAACCAAGACCTCTCCAGTAGCCTTCGCGCCGGGGTTCTTGTCGTAGACAACGGCGACAATCAACTGGAGAATACCGCAAATCGTAAGGCCGCCCATGAGAAGCACGCGACGTCTCCCGTAGCGTATGACGATCAAGGAGTTGAGGATGATGGCTACCAGACCGATGGCACTGAGAACACAGCCCATGGCAAAAGGATTTGCTACGCGGGCCATCGTAAAGAAATACGCCTTGTACGCTGTTGGGCATTGTCAGCATACTGTACTCTCTACTCTGGATAGGTGCGATAGGGGGTTCAAGTCTTACAGATAATGAACATGGACCCGGTGGCAGCCTGCAACGTCACACCGCAGACCGCGAGGACCGTACGCCTCCTGTCGACAGGGTTCCTGAACATGTCGAGGACGCTAACTTGGCTACCTATCTCACGCTCCTTGTCGATCGCCGCCTTGATCTCGGCTACCTCAATATCGACGTGTGCGCCAGTCGGCCTGAGCCACTCTAGCGACTTCCGGCCCTCTTCGAGCTTGCCTTTCAAGATTAACCAGCGGGGAGACTCGGGGATGAAGAGTAAGCCGACGCCGAGGAAGAAAGGGATCACGTAAATCAGCCCCAGAGGAATGAGATAAGAGGATTTATCAGGTCGACCTGCCGTTGCCCAATCCACAATCGTACCGATCAAGGTGCCCTAGTTAACGGGATGAGAACTCATCAATCTCGGCGATGGCGCGGATGTGACTTACGAAGGAGGTGCAAAACTGGAACGCGGTGAGGAACAAGCCACGGTACTTGGCCGGGCTACTCTCCTGTATGAAAAGCTGGGAAAAGGTCATGAAGTATCCATTCGCCAACCCATTGAGCAGGCGTCCGATGTACAGAGCATTGATGTCAGTTGTAGCCATCATGATAACGTTCGAGACCACACAGCCCAGGCAAGCCAACCACAGGCAGGCCTTCCGTCCGAGCCTGGCGGCAACCAAGCCGGCCGTCCCAGAGCTGACGAAGGCCCCGAGAGTCATGAGCGACGTGATCAGCTGCTGTCGAACGGTCGAAATGTTCCAGCCTGTCGGTGTGTCGGGTGCTGGATGGCCGTAGATCTGTCCACACGCGTGTTAGTATCGAAGCCGCGCTTCGCATATAGGGTGAGAATCACACACCATGAGGAACCCTGGCATAGCCTGAAGACCGCCTATCAGACCGAAATCGATACCATATTGAAATGGCGAGAGGACCATGAGCCCACAGGCTACAAAACACCGCCAATGCTGGCGCATAGTCTCGTCATCTCTGATCACCGCCATCGTTTTTCTTCCCTTTACCACTTCAGCACGTCGTTGTTGTCTAGGAGAGGGACGACACGCGGTGAGTGAGGGAAGAGAAGAGGAAGAGGAAGGGGAGTGGTCTTCTGGCATTCCCACAGCTGCCCATGCGACCGAAGGGCACGACGTCTTTACATGGGTGTCAGCGGATGGGAAATCTCGTAAGTGCCGAAAGGACTCGGGGGGGGGGAGGCGCCAAGACACACGCATCACTCGTAGCTGGTCCCTTTTTCCCCATTACCCCAGGTTTGGAGGTTGCCGGGGGAAAAGCACGTAGCTGCGACCGACAACCATCCCACACCCTCCACATCCTCTCCGCATTCCCTATAGGGGGCTGCACCTGTCAGCTTGACCTATTCAGGCTAATAATGTTAATACTGTGGTGGAGCTCAATATTTTGTGCTTCACAGAATACAGATGCGGCAAAAGAAAAGGAAAAAAAGGAGACCAGGGAATGCACTCTGTTTTCCCGAGAGAGCGGTATCATATCTGTTAGCCGTGGAGCTGCTTCGGTTCCCATAGTATGGGTATCTTGAGATATTCGGGGATTAGACCAAGCCATTCTAGAGGGTCGCGAATCTTTGGGAAAGTGTGAGTAGAACGGTAGTCCGTACTAAATAGAATGTCCCATCTACGTAATCAACTAATATTTTCAAGTGTAGAGGGTACCTAGGCTCGGCGGTTGATGGTAGTGCGTCTACAAATTCGCAGGCTTTTCGGTAAGTGTGCTATGTGAGCGAATTACGAGGAATGAGGGCCGGGTGATTGATGGGGCTGGTTGCCTTGCCTCAACGCCCCCCCCACAGTACCCGAAGGCATGGCGATTATGAAGATATTATTGAAGGTGACGCTAGGACTATTGTAGGCCATTCTCTGTTTATTTTGAGCTAAAAGCAAGAGACGGGCCAAGGGTATTTCCTAACCCCGTATGGGAGAACCCGCATCCAAGAAATAGACGGTAGGTAATGCGGAGATGGCCCCAGAGAAATAGAGCGACCTAGAGGCCTAACAAAATAAAGGATGCCCCAGGCTGAGAGTGCTACATATGCATCAGATATACGTATGTAATACAGGGTAGTATACCCTGTGAAGCTGGGGTGTAATCTTTCAAGAGGCATAGGGAGGACTCAGGAAGACTCCGACCAGTGGGTTTGTGAGTCGATATGAGATCCGGACGATTTCCTAGCACTACAAAGCCGGCGTCCCCAAACTACCTATATAGACTATCGTGTGTATTCGAGAACGGTCTATACGCTGGCCTTTTCTATTTGAGTTTATGTGCACCGCGACTAATCAATTCCGCCGCAAGCATTCAGGATAATCGGGGCTGATTTGTCCCTGATGTGTTGTATTTATAACTGTGACTACAGGTAGGATTATATTTAAGATATGGAATTATCTCGAGAGCTCACTAGGTACCTGAAAACCAAGTAAATTCATCTTTGACCCTCTAGATCTGAGAATGTCTATCGGTTCCGACGTGAGACCGATGTAGTATGCGGGGATATTTATTATCTCACCTCTAAAAACACGCAAGGCAAGACAAAGTATTGCTGCTCATTTGAGGTTTGTCAATGTTATCGCGAATAGTGCGGAGTTGAAATAATTCCCTATGCCAATTGATGCTGGTTTACGATTTGCTTCCAGGGTGATGTTCGGTGACGACTAGGGAAGGGGTCTACAGCCCCAGGCAACCTCATATTAGGCGCGTGAATAGCATTAGATGTAGAAACGTCCCTACGGCGAGATATATATCAATGGGCATTGCGTTGCATCGACCCCTTGGCATTAGATATCCCAACAAAGATGCATCTAGAGCAACGCGGCACCTAGAGACGAACATTCTATCAACTATGAATCGAGAGTTACACACATAATACCTATAGAATATAGAACGATTAAATGGCATTACGGAACACTGAAGCTCTCTTCCTGTTATACTGCAGGCGCCCCCCCTCTGGCCCAGAGACCTGCATTTCCTTCGTGAGCTATGACAGCTCGTAGGTCTGAGTACCTGCCTGAGGATTCCTCTCGTGATGTATTATATAGTTTGTCACGTAGAGAGCCACCTATACTTAGCTCTCTACTTCTTCGCTGGCCGCTTACCTGACATAGCTCGCATCTTCTTTGTTCATTTTCTTTCTAGTTAGCTAGTCAGTCAATTCAACTTCATTGCACATTCCGTTGCTCCCACAGCGGAGCAACCTCAGCCACATACGTAGCTCTCCCGATCTATGTAATATAGCCAATAGCTGCATGTCAAGATCCCTTCTAGATCGTTCTTTCAATTTCGTGTGATAGCAGAAGTGGGGGGTCAATAGTCCACGCGAAGAGACCTTTGCGAAGGAGCTTCCCCACAGGGTAATGCAGCACTGGATTGAGCTAGGAACGACGCTGGAGTTATACAGTTCTTAGCAAAAAATATATGGCGACCCTGGTATTTTCGTTGGCAGTTTATCAACGTGTTCTTCTCTATAACGGCCACTTCGAGCTGCGGTGTAAGTGCATGCCGGCTTTTCATGCTCGCTGTGCCCTGACTCCCTTGATAGCGCAGCTGCCCCGAGGCATACAGGTATACCATGTAATAGTAGTAATGAATTAATGAAAGTAATACTGCGACGACACATGTCAATACTGACTGCACGAGGCCCTCATAGAAGTGATAGGACTATACTTGGAGTATTTTTTGTGTCTAAAATTGAACCACCCTATTTTTAGGACCCTACCCTCACCTAGCATGACGAGCAGCTCTACCGGCAGCTCCGTGAAAAACACCCATATCTTCCCGCTTTAAGGAAATAACATCAAAATTTTCATTAAAGAGGACTTAACTAGTCTGCCCTCTCCTCCAGCTTAGGATGGGTAAGATGACATCTTTTCAATTGCTCAATACTGAATTGTACTCAACAGACACCTAGTTCGTGTTCATGGAGGATAAAGGGTATATCAAGCAAGGCCCCTTTCGAGTTCTGTTGCTAACATTTCGTCAAAAAGTGGAGGAGTCGTTAATGTTCGTTTTATTGACCGCTCCTCTGATGTAGGAACCGGGGGCGAAGATAATAATACTTTAGGCGCCTCCTAACTATATGCCTCTGCTAAATCGAGTATTCATTTGTTCCTCCTCTTTCAATTAGTTGACACTCGGAACTTTTGCTGTCAACCCCGTTGCGTTACGAGCAGACGCGTTGTAGGAGAACGTCGACACCCATACTTCCTATTTGGAAACGTGGCCAGGTGCGAGTGCGTTCTTACAGGACAGAATGGAATTACTTCGTGTCATTGGAAGCGTGAGATAAAACAAACCACTTGGGTCGTCGCACCAACATAGGTCGACTTCACTTCACAGCTATAAGAATTCTATTTATAATTTTCAGAATTTTACGCTGGGCAGCTTTGGGATATGTCTATGGATGGGATGAAAATGAATGAATATGTACATACTTTCCTACCATATGTACATATATAAATAGGTACCTATATGTGCATGATTAAATACCAATAACCCTCTAAAACCCCTGCCGATAAGAATCCCATCGGCGAGTCCGTCGTGAAGCTGCTTACTGTACCAGACGCAATGCTCGATGCCTCCAGCCGAAACTCTTCCCTTATCCGCTCCACCACCCCGTTCCTAAATACGCTTCATTTGAAATCCTCTATTTGAGCGATTTGCTAGCCGGTATTCCGCCGCATCGCTAGGTAGGTAGTTCCGTTGTCTCTTACCAAAGACAAAATAGGGGTGGGGTGCACGTTAGGTATTAAGTGCGTGGTAGAAAATTAAATGCTGTATAGATGCGAACCAATTTCCGACAATTTGAAACGCAGCTAGTAGTAGATGCCATACTTTGACTTCTTGGTAACGACTTTCGTGAATTCGCTTGCAATATACTCATCTTTGAGTGAAGTGAGTCAGCGGGGCCGGCTTCACGTAGTGCGGAATGGAACTTACGAGCTTTGGGTGAGAAGTGCAAGTCGTCGTACCTGAAGTCGCATTAGCTTGCAATGTCTCCTAGCGATACGCGCAACCAGACGCGACTTACCATAGGAAGCTTGAGAGCGGGTGTTCTGAGGTTTTGCTACAGCTGGGGCTGGCTCCTATCGAGTTGGGGCACGAGATGTAGTACCCCTTGGCGTTGGCCGGGGGATCGAGGTATTGCGCCGGCTGGTTGTAAATGTCCGTGATCAGCTGGTGTACGTCGAAGATGCTGAACGAAGCCCCGGGCCACCTCTTCTTTACGAGGAGCTGGAACGGCACGCCGTACTCAAAGACCTTGTTGACGGTCGTCGAATACTCGAAGATCTTTTGCTCGTACTCGGTCGTGTTGTATGATTCCTTGTTCGGCCATCGCGGTACGTTGCCGGTTCCCCCGTTCTTCACCGAGGTATACAAGGGTGCGAGCTGGAGGGGTGCCACGTTGAAGAGCACGAACTTGCGGCCACCGGCACGGTAAATTGCGTCGTAGGCAGGCCATATACACTCGACAAAATCTTCGAGGCTCTTCCCGGCTTGTTGTGAGTCCGTGAGAAACGCATTGACACCAAGGTCATTGGCTCCTATCCAGAGTGAATACACAGTATTATCGGCTCTCCGGTTCACATAGAGCGTGTTGGTACCCGTCTTGGGGTCTTTCCAGGCCACGTCGGCCAAGAAGGCTGGCGACTCATACTCTTGCACTGAGGGGAGCACTTCTGGAAAGAAGTCGGTACATACAGCTCCAGACACTGAGCGGCTCCGGATGTTAGCTCGGTCGGATTGACGCGTTGGGCTGAGACGGCGGCGAAGGGGCGAAAGAGAGCATGGGGAATGTAGACGCGGCATCTACCTCCGAATGGAATTGAGGACTCCCTTACCGGCATAGTTATACACCTTGGCCCCAATCTGCTTCCCGGCGATTTGAGGCCAACTAACTCCGCCGCTTGCTGTCGTGTTTGACTGTGGAATATAGAGGCCGGGCGGGGGGGGAACACCATGGGTCAAGAAGTATTCCAGTCGACCCTCGTCCGTATAACTATCGCCGAAGACGATGACATTGTTTATTCCGGCTGTGCCCTGACCGCAAGAATGAGTCGGGGCCACGCCCATGAGCCACGCCAGCAATATTATCAACCGCATTGCAAGGGGAGTTTGTGATACCTTAGTTAGCAGTGGGCAGCGAGGCGCAATAGGCAGCGGGAGGGAAGGTGAAAAGGGGAGGCTCTGGACATACCATGTCGACGGCATCGTTTGCGATTATATATATTCACACATATATGAGCACACGTTCGAGGGATTCCTTCCATGCAGTCCTGAGGATGTCCACGATGTAACCAGCCACCAACAACAATTACGGTCTGGCCGCCTGAAACCAGTTGCCTGGATCTACGATAGGGATGGATTCCATAATGCCTGTCACGAATCTGCCCAAAACGCGCAGACATAGAGACCCTAGAGCAATAGTCCCCCGGAAATGTCGCCAGCTCACATAAAGGGTGTGTGAATACGACGGTATCTTCCCTCCACGTGGGAGGTAGATGGTGCTTACAGCTAGCGGTATACCTGGAGACTTGGACGAATCGCACGCGGCGAGAGCCCGTATCTGCTCACTGCATCGCACCATTGTGTAATTGTGTATGCCAAATGCCTGCAGCATGCCATGTGGACTTTGCATGACATTCCTTCGCAGTGTCCGTAGCCATGTGCGTAGGAGCACAGGAGGATTCGCTGGCCGGCCAAAAGACGAATTAAATACACACAGGCTTCCGGGTCAGCGTGCAATGCTACGCTGCGCGGTCACGTTCCAAGCGCGAAAACTGCGTCGGCTCTAGAATAACTGACGGAAATCAACGATGCTGCGGGTCTACAGGAGAGACCCTGCGCGGCAAGGCAACAGCGTTATGAACAGTAGTACATACGTAGATTCAGCCCCAGATGGATCCAACTCAAGCCGAATTGGATAGACAGCCATGTTGATGGAGACGAGGGGCAAAGGGACAGGGGGGAGGGGGGGGGGACGCGCGAAAGGAAGGGTCTCTAGCAAAGCAAATTACGGGCAAAGCATCGAGCATTTATCGAGTTGCCTGTTCCAGCCAGTCCTGTGAACTCCATCCCATGCCACGCAACCCACCTAGTCGATCTAACCCCAGCAATTTACTAGACCGAATCTGGTCTCGGAAATCCGGATTGTGAATCGAGATAGCTGCCCGCTTCTCTGACCGGTAGCTAGACGAGCGCAACAATAATACACAATCCCTCCTACTTTACAGGTAACAAGTTGATGTATCTGGTTAAGAGCTCAACGACCAAGTGACGCAGCTGTGGTATCCCCTTGATCGGTTGACAAACAGAAGAGAAAGCGTGGGGTATATAGGAGAAAGGCAGCTGGCACAATTGGCTGGCAGTGCCTGCTTAGCTGAATCCTCCGCCCACGGAAGACCAGAGGCCAAGGTGAAAAGAAGTATGCAGAAGAGACCTCTTGGGAAATACCAATATGTAAGCACTTCGATCTCCTAAGCATGCATCTTATATCTCGCCTCGCCTTCCCTCTCCTTCTCACTCAGTCTAGATCAGTCTAGAGTACAACTGGGGGCGTCTGTTAGACTGACTGACCCTCAAGCATTGGGTTGGAATGTAAAGATTGCCAGTTGCGGGTCGGGTTCTTTGCTTCCATACCAAGCCCTCGATGGCTCGTGAGATATACCCCGTCGCACATCGGCAACACCCCGAATCCCCCTCCCCATCGTTGTACCTAATATATTAGCTCCACGCATCTGGTACTAGCAGCGAAGGAACCGGATAGGATGCGGTTCCGTAGTGGAAGGAAAGAAGGAGGCTTTGTTAATACGCGGCAACCCTTCAGAAATAGCCAGGGAGGCATGCAAAGGCTAGCCCGGTGAACTCCACAATATCCATTAGACTTTAAGCTTCAAAGAACCTAGGAGAGCATACACCACGTATAATAGATGTCTCCATCTCACACCAGATAGTCGGACTCGACATCACCAGCTTCACTAAAAGCTACATCCATGCTCTCGTCGTCACTGCTTATCTCCCTGTTCAAAGGAACAATGTCGAGAGGATAAGGGTCGTGAACAAAACCCTGTGGATTCCAAGAATCGTACCGTACAACGAATCGGGGGGGGCCTTCGTTATGTAGAAACGGGGGAATCATTTTCCGGTGCTTGTGAGTAAGGATACGTAGGCGAGAAGAGGCCCGGTGGGGGGTCGGTCCATCGAGGGTTGACTCGGGCCTCGATTGGATCGAGGCCTCTTGGTACCTCTGGAACAGAGAGGCAAGTCTCTCGACAAGCCTACGCATCACCGGTCGTGTGTTCCGACTATTAAAGCGAATCCGTCGTAGGAGTGGGGGAAAGCGTTCAAGCGAGATACTCAGCTCAAAAGACTGACCACGGGCCTCGGAGTTGGCGAGGAGTTCACCGATCGATAGTCCTGAGAGGATCTCATCCACGCGATGCTCCCTCAACATGACAATGCCATAATTGTCAAGGCGTAGTGAGGTCAGGCGGGGCGGGGCGGGAGCCTTCAAAACGTAATCGGAGGCGTGGGTCCCGTTCGTCGGTACTCGAATGAACGGACCAATCTGGAGATGCGATAGAACCGTGAAATCGGAGAGGGATAGAGGTAATGTTCCCCCATGTCTCAAGTATTGAGCGTGGAAGTGGATCTGGAGGCGCTCTAGACTGCCGGACTGCTGAGCAATGGCACGGTTGAGCGCGTCCACGTCGTTGACAGCGAAGCGGTCGCCAGGCTCGACAGGGTGATAGAAGGTTTCGCAGAGGGCGAAATCTCGAAGCGCAGCCGGGAAGGAGAGGACTGCGTGCAGAGCTTCGGTGGATACGGTGCACTCGGTGAAGGTGAGGGACTCCAGCTGGGTTTGACGATGAAAGCGACCTGTGTCGATCGGGCCGATGTGCTCGATCCTGGCGCACGAAATCTCAAGCGACTGAAGTCGGGGGAGCAGGAATATTGGGCAGGCCGCCGTTATTGTCCAATACCGCTTACCAATCCCGGTCCAGTGCAAAGTCACTAAGCCAGTGCGTGGGCCGATGTCAAGACCAGATTCTTAGAGGGGGAGGGGGGGGGGAGGTTCGGGAACTAACACGATTTCAGGCTCGAAAGAGGCCTTGGCAATCCCACGGGCTCGTTGAGCAGAGAACCCTGCTCGAATGCCCGGATATAGGAATCCATGAACACATTCCAATGGGACGGCCTCACCGACCACGGCTGGCACTCGGGACTTTCGGAGACGAAGGTCGTTAAGCTGGGGAACGAGGTAAGGTCCGGAGGCTCGGGCGGTTGGTCATGGTCATATTGCTCAGTAGAGTATAACAGCCTCAAGTCCCGCAGGTAAACGTTGCGCCGAGGCTCTGCGCGGGTGTTATTTAAGAATAGACGTAGGGACGACAGCGTGGTGAACATCGCCACGGAATATAGACAGGCCTCGGCAGGTCCACGGAGCCTCTTGCAGGTATGTGCAAGGAACTGGAGACTCTGAACATGGCCGGATTCGCGAAGCAGTCCCATCACCTGCAGCAGTAGCTCGCTCGGGAGAACGAGGAGCGACATGACGATGATCAATTACGGCGACGCGATTCAAGACAGAGGAATACGCTATCGGGGTTGCGTAGCCTCCACCAAGACTCGGAGGCAACAGGGGCGGGAAACCAGACGCGGGTACAATACGGAGGACGATGTGGTAGGGTTGGAGTTGGGTAGAAAGAGGGGGAGGTGGTGGAAGCGGTGGGGGAGGGACAAAAGAGCAGGAGGGGGGAGAGCGGAATTGCTGTGCGAGTGGTAAGTCGGGAGACCTACGTATTACATACCCTACCTACATAGGTACCTGCCTACATTCTGCAGGGCTGTGGTGACGGACAGAGACGGCCTGATTGAGGTGCTTGCTACCTATGTAAGCCACCACTTCGACGCCTCGGGGGAGACCTGATCGAGAACCGCGCGATGACTGAAGAATAACTGCCAAGACGTGATATGGGGGGACGCAGCTGCGATCCGTCGTGATGGATTCAGTGCGCGAGCGAGCGATGGATGGTGATGATGCGAGGGCCGGATTGGAACCACGACAGGCCGACAACACGATCTGCGGTACCACCAGCCAACCCATGCTCCTCATCCCGACGGCTCGCTCGTCACGGGGCGTCTTCTCGCAGCTGGAATCGGCATGCGCATGTGCCGATTCAGCTCGCCGCCGACTTCGCTGCAGCCCCGTTGCTGTTTGTTTTCCGCATACCAACAAAAGCGAGTTGGCGCGATACCAGAGTAGCATGATTTGAGGACGAGTTGCGCGTTTTCACCTTATCTGTCCGACCTGCCTTGGGTACCCAGTACCTAGGTACCTAGGTGTGCGGGGGCCGTGCTGGAAAACAGGGCTGACCAATACCCAGGTACCTACCTAGAGGTAGGCAAGTTCTGTCATTGCTAAAGTACGGGAGATCAGTAGGCTACTTAACGAAGGATAGGTTCGATTCCTAACAGCGCTACTTGGTAGTCTTCGCTACTTAGCTCATCTACGGGAAACTTGTAGTTTTTACCCGACCTGCTTGCACCCCACCTCCGCTAATACCCTCGTACTTATACGCGTTGTGAGGTGTGTCGAGGGCTTTGTGCAAATCAGTAGAATCCCTCTTCCAAACTGCTCCATCGTAAATAGGTATACCAAGGAGCTGGTCTGGGCGTGGATGCCACAGTGGGCCCGGGGCCTAGCCCCGGCGATGGTGTCTTGGACGCTGGATCGGCCTTGTTCCCTAGGACTAGGAAAGGTACTATCGATATCTCTCGTAGGCGCAGGAGCACGCCCAGCTCGGCTCTAGTCTTAGCAAAACGTTCGGTATCCGTAGCGTTGTTGACGAAGTTGACCTCTTCCACAACAGAGTTCAATTGATGAAGTTTATCGTAAGCAGCCGCCGCGACCTAGATTCCGTTTGAAAACCACGAGATCACAGCTTGGGGAATTACAAACCCCTACGCACTGTGATAGGTGATGATAGAAACCGTAATTTTTCTAAGGTAGCAGTCGAAATAGAGCAAGGGGCCTCACGTAGGGAGTCCTGCCTTCTGAGCATATAGACACTTCCGTTTTCACGTGGCATGGAAGTCAAAGAAGTGGAGGAGATGCCGGGTCGTAATCATGTAAGGGGGTGTGAACGACTCCCTCGGTGAACAGACGATGCTCACCTGAGCTTGTTAGTCATACCTACCGATTACTTCAGCTGTTGCTTAGAACCAACCCGAGTCGGCCGAACGGCGAGAACGAGGGATGGCAATGGAGAGATTAATGACGTCCTGCTCGTCGTTGTTGTATAAAATCGAGGAGGTCATTAACAGGCCGGCGGCCGGCAGGAAGGAAGAGATGGATTGGGCTCAGGGCTCTAGCAGGGAGGATTGGCTACATGGCGACGAAGACGCGGACAGCGAAGGCATAAACACCCAAGAAACCGAACCCTCAAGACATTTACCTATATTCCATATTTTTAACTACCTCAGTTCCACACGTGGGAGATATGCGCTGATGGTTTCGGCTGTGAGGAGGAAACAGAAATTGATCTAGGGCAAGGAGGCGTATTCCGAGACGGGACCTAGCTTTATAACACTAGAGAGCGCCTGCTTGCTTCCACGGGTATGAACCTCGTTCGCAGGTATAATATCTATCTGTTTTTACAGTGGGGTAACGGCCTTGATCGTGGTAGGCAACTGAAGGATGAGGCACTTAGGTACCTGCCTCCTACTTATCATGTCACGTGTGTGCTTACCTACCCCCAGCCGGGCTGCGTTGTGGCGCGTGGTAGGGGAGCTAGCCCAACATATGTTTAGCAGACCTATTTCAGCGCTTCCCCTGACCATACACGGGGACGCACAGTTGAGTTGTACCTTGGTCAGTTTGCATTTGGTTGGAGAGAATTTCGTCGCCGTCGAAAATCGAGGCGCTAGCTTCCCACCAGAAGTGTCATGTCTTCAGGCCTGCTATCGTCCTCCGGCTCCGTATGTCTGCCAACAGGTGCAGCGATCTTGGGCGTTACAGCAGTCGCCGCACTTTTCCTGGCTCAGCGGGTCGTCTGGGCCGGTTCGCCACGGAGGCTGCGGACAATACCGCCGGCCGAGGAGCGCGTGCTCATATTGGGGGCTTCAAGCGGGCTCGGCCGCACGATAGCAAAGCGATATGCCGCTCGTGGTGCCCGGGTGTGCGTCGTCGCCCGGCGCGCGGATCGACTGTCGCAGCTGGCGGATGAATGCGGGGCTCATTGTATCTGGGAGTCGGCTGACTTCGCTGACGTAGGGGCTATGGTTCGGCTGAGGGACAAGCTGCTGGCCGAATGGGGTGGGCTCGATTCGCTGTATGTCTGCGCTGGCGTGTCGGCCGTGCAGCCTGTCATGGCTCTAGCCGGCGTCGGATCCGGCGATGACGGCGACGCGACCAGCTCCGGGATCCAAAACGCGGTAGACACCGCTGCCCGCGCGACAAGGGGGAATGTATACGGCCCTCTCATCGCCGCTCTGGCCTTCATCCCTGCACTGACGCGGACCTCGGCCGCGCCTTCTATCCTCCTCGTCTCCTCGCTCGCCGCCGTGGTCCCGGCACCGACGCGCGCCCTATACGCGGCAACGAAGGCGTCATCGCTACTGCTGTACCAGTCTCTCGCCATCGAGCATCCTGATATCGTGTTTGCATCCGTCCTGCCAGCCACTATGGAGGGCGACTTCCGAGCGTCGGCTGTTGACGCGGACACTGCCACTCGTGCGGCCGGCCCTAACCGGCGTGGACTTAAGCTTGACTATGTTGTAGAGCGGTGCGTCGAGGCCATGGATCGAGAGACGCGGGGGAGCCTTGTGGTCCCCTGGTTCCCGTACGCCGTCGCGCATCATCTGTACTATCTCTGGCCGTCTGTCATCGAGAGGCAAGCGAGGAAGAAGTACGACTTTGGCGCATGATGGCTATTTCCTGTGAATCAGAGTTTCCTCCTTTCTGTCTTTTGCACTTGTGTAAGTGCACTAATTTTGGGGAAGAATAACGTCTATCGGGAACTCATAGCACTAAGTAGGTACAAGCATGCCAGGGCCCCCCCTTCGGGGGGCCGTAAGGGTTTTAGTTTATTTAAAGGATAATTAGGTTATTTACGATATTATTATCTATTATATAAAACGTAAATATTTATCCTATCTGTAGGATAGTTATAATACGTTAAACCCTTTATTATATTAATTTATTTATAATGGTAATTTCTTTATAAAAATAACCTTATAAATAACCCTATAAATAACCTTATAAATAACCCTATAAATAACCTTATAAATAACCTTATAAATAACCTTATAAATAACCTTATAAATAACCTTATAAATAACCTTATAAATAACCTTATAATTACGAAGTTATTTAAAAGATATTTTATTTTTATTAGCTAAAAGTTCGTATAGCTTATTTAAAGGAGATATATTTAATAAAACCGTAGCATACGTAACAGGATCCTTATTTACTTACTAACGCGTCTATTATTTACCTATTTTGATCCTATTAATAAATAAATTAATTTATATTAATTTTTCTATTTAATCTAGGTTAGTTTTTCTTTATTTAATCTAAGTTAGTTTCTTTTTATTTAATCCAGGTTAATTTCTTTTTATTTAATCTAGGTTAGTTTCTCTTTATTTAATTTAGGTTAATTTCTTATCGTTTAATTTTAGTTAGGTTCTTTTCGTTTAATATAAGTTAATTTCTCTTTATTTAATCTAAGTTAATTTCTCTTCATTTAATGTAGGTTAGTTTCTTTCTATTTAATCTAGGTTAATTTCTTTCTATTTAATTAAGAATCGATTATTAATTAATTCTTTTTTGTAGTTAAAGTAAACGTCGATTCTTACTTACCCTTTTTCTCCTAGCCTTTAAAGAGGTTTTAAGTTTTCGATACGAAAACCTAAAGAAGTACGAAGTACTTTAGCGTATTTTATTTATACTTTACGGTATATTGGTATATAAAGGGTACTTTAATTAATATATAATATTAATTTAATTTATTATTATCTTATTATTACTTTAGTATTACTATTATTTATTTATTATTTTATTTATTATTTTATTTATTATTTTATTTATTATTTTATTTATTATTTTATTTATTATTTCATTTCTAAATTATAATCTTTATATTACTTTTTAATTTTAGTAAATATTATATCTATTACGTAAAAAGCTACTTATATATAGCTCTTTACTTTTTCTTTCATTATTCGTTTACTTACCTTAATTCTTAATTTACTTATATAATATAACTGGTAACTTCTTATTATTTACATATAGGTAATTTATATTTTCTTTATTTTTTTCCTTTTTAAATAGTATAATAGTACGGTAAAACATACCCTCTTAATGCATTACGTAACACGCTACGATAGGCCTTATACCTATATAAAGTAACCATAGCTCCCGCAAGTACGGGACATGCCATACTTATTATTTAATTCATTACCTAGCTAGATTACTATCTTTATTATTTTTACCTTAATTAAAGATTCGTTTTTATCATTAGATTCGTCGTTCTCCGATTAGTATATCTATCTTAGTTATAGGCGCTTAAGTTACTTCGTCGTACCGCTATAGCCGAATAAGTAACTTTTACGTTTTACTCCTTTTCTCTCCTTACCTCTTATACCTTCGGGCTAGCGACTACTATATCTCTACGACTAAGAGGCATAGCTAAAATACGATAACTATATTAGATTCCTTACCTCTCGATTAGTATAGCGGTACTAGTTTTATTTATTTTAAACCATCGTACGTATTATAGTCTTCGATAAAGTATACTTTCGAGTAAACATATCCGGGTCTCTAATATCGCGTACGCTTTATTCCTCCTTAGTAGTAACTACCTTATAACTTTTTCGACCCTTTAACCTTTAATGCACGGAGTTTTTATTACGCTACTAGGATTTAAAGGATACCGATCGCCGTTAGCGCCGTTATTTAACCCGCGAAGTAGTTCGCGTTTTACGTTAAATAAAGTATCCCGCCTTATAGTTATTTATCTACTATAGGGAGGTACGTATAAGCCCGGGAATCTTTACTACGATACTACTATTACTAGGATACTACCTAGCCCTTAATACTTATAACGCTAATAAACCATCGATATTACGATATAATACGACGACTAAACCGCGTTTATACCGATTAAAACATCCTTCGTATCGTTATTTACTTATTATACGGAAAAACCCGTAAAACCCAGGAGAACTTTCGTCGTAATACTACCGCTACTAGGAATAATACTTAGCCCTCGATACTAACCGCTTCCTCGAACCGCTAATAATATAATATATTTCGTGCGAGTAAATAAAGCTTATAGCGATTAGGGCAGCCCCCTTATAATTATTAAACAGGAGCAGCGTGGGCACGCTAACGGAGGCACGAAACGGCTACCCAACTGCCAACAACTGGCCCAGTGCCGATCAACCAAGATCACAGCTGTAAACAGCTGTAATCGGTTGATCGGCCAGCTGAAAACGGCAGCTGGGAAAGGAGACTGAAAAGGGCAAAGACGAGGATGGCTAGAAAGGCATGGCAAGAAACGAGTGAATGGCTGTAGGTCCTGATATCTACAGGTCTAAGTCTAACTGATGAAAATATGAGTGCGCGACCCATATAAATAGACATGGAAAAGGCTACGTGGCCTAGATCCACCGCACCACTACATTATTTATTTACTATATAAACTAAACGTACGAACGCCTTAGCATAAATTACGATAACTTATACGACCTATTATTTCCTTATTAATACTAAGGGCGGATAAAGGCTAATAGTAATTATACCCTAACCGACCTTACGATAGCTTCCTTTTTCCTCTAAACCTATTAATCGATATAAACTAAATATATAAGTACTAATAACTTATTATACTAAAGGCATTTTAAGATACCTAAACGTAGCGACTCGACGATATAGTATACGATATAATATAGATATTTATATTAATAATATAAATAAGAATTAATAAACTAATAGTTATTAATAACCGATAGATTTAAAGAGAACTAGAAATTAATATTAATAGAACTACGTAGATATAAAGGATTAAGGAAACGGAACTAAAGTTAAATTAATAGGTATACCTATATATAAGCTAGCCTTATATTACTAACTAATAACTAGTATAGCGAAAAGTACTAACATAGGCATAAAACGGCGCCTAGCGATAATACCGTTAATACCATTAAATAGTTCCCGTTAAATCGAAACCGGCCTATAGCTATAACCGGTATCGTATCTAACGCGATTCTTTACTCGGGATCCATTCTTTATACGTATTACCTTAACGAAGGTTATACGTTAGGAGTTCTAAACCTTAATAGGAGGGATTATCGTCGACTTATTTATAATAATTAAACTATTAATCTAAGGAATACGTATCGCATTCCATTTAAGCGTTAGCCGATTAAAGAAGCTCGTATAATACCCGGACCCTATCGATCGAAATAATATAATAAATAATAATATACCTATACCAAAGGAAAAGTATTAGGATATAAATAATAACCATTATACCTTTACCTTTTTATTAGATAATAAGACCTTTACTACCCCCTTTTCTACTTTATACCTCGTACCGATAAACCAAACGGAATCCGTAGCTAGGAAACGAAATAAATCGCCGTTAAGACCCGAAGTAATAAAGACTAAACCATTAATAAAGACCTTAAGAATCGATACTAACTCTCCGCCTTTATATCCGCCCGAAGAAGAAAAGGACGACGATAAAACTCCTACTTAGCTACCCCTTATCCGCGGCTCTATACTTATCCCGCTAATTCCTATAGTATTATCTTAAAATAATAATAACGGAGCCTTTAGTAGCCAGAATATACCGGTAGCTACCTCGACTATCGTAATACTAGCCATTAAATTCCCTAACCCTACCGATTACCCTAGGCTTAAGTTTAATAAACATAATATAACCTAATAGCTAGAAAGGGTAGATCGATTATTTAACCGCTACTATATAAATAACGACGATAAGATTAAGGAGATCGGCGAATAAATTACGACTAAGATTATTAGGGAGCGTATTAACGACGTTACGAAGGATTAAACGATCTAGAGAGTTATCGTTATAGCCCTAAAGTACCGTTTTAAGATTACCGATAAACTAAGCTAAGCTAACGTTAAACGTAAACTCGTATAGCTAAAACGAAGCAACGTAATTAATAATCCTAAGGCGATCTTTACGTATCTTATAAATTATAAACGCCTTTCCAAGCTCGTAAACGATAACGAAAAGCTTCCCTAAAAAGTAGAATACCTAACCGATAAATTCCGGATATCTTTAATTATAAAGTTCTATAAAACGGAAAACTATAACTATAATAGGATCGGAAATATCGACTACCGGATTCTTTATACCTAGCTTTATAAGTAAGCGGAACGTCGTATAGTAATATAAATTACCGATAGAACCTAAGCCGAAGAACGACGATAGTAAAAAACGGTAACTTTCGAAGAACCCGAAAAGCTTATAATATAAATAATTTAACGATTAACGACTCCTAGCCTCTAAATGCCTTTACTACCGCCTCCCTCGTAGCCTAAACCCTTTTACGGCTACCTAAGTACTAGTTAAGAAAGCTAGCATATAAGGCCCTCTACGACCGACTTAACGCTTTAGAAATAAAGATAACTTCGTAGAACTACCGTTAGAATAATAGCTCTTATAGTCCTAGGGATACGTATAGCGCCGATTAATAATATTAATAGGAAAACCCGTTCCTAGTAAACGCGGTTCGGAACCTAAGTCTCTATAACCTATAAACTAACGGAAGAACCCTAGTAGGTTCTAAACGTAATACTATACTAGATTACCGAGGCATACGTAATAGGATTCTATTAACCTAAACGAATAACTATAAGGAATTCGAATACTAGTTTTATAATACTCTCGATCGGCTTTATAACTATAGCCGCTACTCGCTATTAATAAATATAACCTAGAATCGGTTCTACTATAGGAATAATAAGCGACTATATTACCTCGAGAACGGAAACCCGAATAAACCGGAATTAATACTAATCCTAGGATCGATTATTACCTAAGCTAAGCGTAAAAGAGAACCG